GAACATTTGAATAAAAGGTTACAGGGCATGATTGAGTGATACAAGCTTAGACACAAAGGAATGTACCTGAGTGAGCTTGGAGAGGTCGGGAACCACCTAAAACACCTCAGATTCCAAAAGTGCATTTTGTACTTTAAAAAAAAAAGGTGGGAAATGAAGGTAGTGTGAAAGTAGTATTGCCAGATTTAGTAGTAACTGCCTTTCAGAGTGCTAGGACTACACTGGGTGCCATGGCACCCAGCTATTAACTCACTTTTGAGCCGGGGTATAGATCTGCTTAGTCTATGCAAGGCCTTGGTTCCATTCTCAGTACCACACATTAAAAAAAAAAATCACTGTCTTCCTTTTTCCCTTATTTTTACTTTCTGCATTTTAAATTTATTTTTAAAAATTATTTGTGTGGTTGGGTGTGTTATCTTGTATGTGTGCCTAATAACCTCAGAAACCAGAAGAGAATGTCACATTCCTTGGAACTGGAGCAGCAGGTGGTTGTGAACTGTGGTGTGGGTGCGGGGAATCAACACAAGTCCTCTGGAAGAACAGCCAGTGCTGTCACCACTGAGTCTTCACTCTGGCCCCTAGTGGGTATGTCTGTGTGTGTGAGAGAGGGACAGACACAGATAGACAAGTGCAAGTAGAAGACAAATTTCAGAAGTCAGTTTTCTCTTTTAACCATGGGTCCTAGGAATCAAATTGATTGTCTTGGCAGCAAACCATCCCCTGAGCCTTATTTGAAATAGGATCTCACTATGTAGTTCTGTCTTGCCTGGAGCTCTTGGTAGTCCATGTTGGTCTTGAATTTAGTGCTGGATTAAAGGTATACAACATCAAGGCTGGCCCTTTTAAAGAAAATTGTAATTTAAAGAAAATTAAAGTCTTGTCATTTATATATACATTATTGTGCTCATATAACTTAAGATTACCCTAAGGGTTGGCCTCAACTTTAGTTCTTTTGTCATCCTTTCAAGTGCTTGGCTTAGAAATATGTGCTATAATACACAGCTTTATAATTTACCCTTATGGAAGTGGCAATGTTTTATAGAAATGAGAAAAAAAAAACAGTTATTTTTGAGACAGTCTCTTAACTCAGGTTGACTTACAACTTGTGATGATTGTCTTGCCTCAACTATCCAAGTGCTGGGATTTTAGGTGCACACTGCCATGCCTAGCAAAAAATAATTCCAGTGGTTAGAAGTCATTTTATTTGTCTTATATAGGTAGGTGTGTAAATAAGTGTCTGTTTATGTGTTTTTCTTCACCATGCTGAGAATTTGCTTATGCTAGGTGAATGTTACCACTAAGCTAAACCGTAAGTGCCACATAAATTTATTTTAAAAAATTTCTTTTTTGTAATTATTGAGGCAATGTCCCATTTCCAAGCCCAGGCAGACCTTGAACTTAATGGTTTTCCTTGACTCTGCCTCTATAGGATTATAGGTATGTACTACTCTTCTAGTATATAGCATTAAAAAAATTTTTTTTTTGAGATACTTTTTCTGGCTTTTCTTTCTTGGGTAGGGAACAGGGTCTGTGCAGACTTGGCTGAATTTACAGAGATCTATCTGCCTCTGGAGTGCTAAGGTCAAAGGCATATGCCATTATGCCTGGTTTTTTTTTTTTTAAATAAGGTTTCACTGTGTGTCCCAGGTTAGCATTGAATTGAAAGTGAACTTCAGCCTAAGTGTCCAGAATACTAAGGTTATAGGTGTGCCACCAGCATGCTTGGCTTCCTACTACATTACACTGGTTTGTTTTACATTCACTTATGTACGTGTGTGTGAACATATGTATAAAATACATATTTTACAATATGTATTTTAAAATAGACGTATATAATATATATTGTATATATAAAATTTTTTGCTGGCCATGTTTATATAAGTATGGAGGCCAGAAGATAGTTTGAGGAGTTGCTTTTCTCCTTTGACTTTGTGTGTTTAGAGGATTGAACACAGGCTGTCAGGTCTATCATTGAGCACCTTTATTCACTGAACCATAGCTCAGTGGCCATAACTTTCAAAGTTTTATCTTTCTTTTCCTGTGGGTCAAAAAATAGTCTGAAAGCCATACCATATTCAGACTTTTTGCTGGTAAGCCAAATGTCATTTGCAGCTATAGTGACTAGACGAGTACCACGAATTATATCTTTCTTTTTGCTCAAAGATTTATTTTTATTTACTTATCTATCTATCTATCTATCTATCTATCTATCTATCTATCTATTTATTTATTTATTTTGTGCTTGCTTGGTTTGGTTTTTTTGAGACGGTTTCTCTTGTAGCCTGGAACTTTCTGTAGACTAGGCTGGCCTAGAACTGCCTTCCAAGGGCAAGGTATTTGCCGCTACCACATGCCTTTGTATTTTGTTTGTTGTTGGGTGTTTTTGAATCAGGGTTGGCTTGGAACTCACTTTAGCTCCAGGCTGGCCTCAAACTTGTGATCTTCATATCTGTACCTCAGCTGCCGGGATTGTAGTTGGTTGTAAGCCACCATGCATATCAGTGTTTTGTTTTGTTTTGTTAACCTCATGGAAGACTGAGGCAAGGAGATTGTAAATTCAACGCCTTCCAGGACTACACAGTGAGACCTGTGTCTCTAACCTTTGTCTTAAAAAGACAAAAGAGAGTGGGGCGTGGTGGTGGTGTACACCTGTAATCCCAGCACTTGTGGAGGCACAGGCAGGCCTCTGTGATTTCCAGGCCAACCTGGTCTATAAGGCCAGTCCAGGACAGCCAAGGCTACAGCAGAGAAACCCTCTCTCTGGGGGTGGGGGTGGGGTGGAGACAGAAGTATTTTGTTGAGGTAGATGTGCTTTACCTTACAGTTGTGGGGGTTGGATTCAGGGTCCTGTGCATGCTAGGTGAGCACTGTGATAGCTGCACTTAATTTCTTTTTCTCAAAAAAATTTGACAAACTCTTGAAATTGTGACTTCTAGAGAACTCTATCAGTAGAAAGTAGATTGAAAGGATTAGGGCAACAGACTTGGTGAAAAAAGACTTACAGAAAGTGATAGTGGAAATGGATCTGAAACAGGTTTTATGAGTATGTTAGGGCTTGATGGATTACATCAGATGAGCATAGGAAGAACTAAGAAGATGGGCTTAGTGTGGTTGTGATATATACCCATAGGATTTGCTGAAGGAGGCAGAGGTAGTAGTTTAAAGCCAGCCTGGGCTATACATGTTGTCTGGCAGTGGCAGTGTGCCTTCATCCCTGCACTTGGGAAGCAGAGGCAGTCAGGAATCTCAGATCAAGGGTACTAGGACTACACAGAAAAACCCTATCTTGAAAAACAAGGTGGGCTTAGAATTTGAGTGATTTTGACTCCTTTCACAGGGAAATGTGTAAGTTATAAGAATGGTTAAAGATAAAATAAGTTTTTCACAAAGTCAGAAAAAATGAGGTCTTATGGATCAGATTTGGTGATGCTTGAAATTGCCCTGTTTTGTATTATGGCCTCTTTAGTGGATTGAGCTCTATGGTATTGAGGAAATTTGACATCATTTTGGGAGAATTAGATTCTCAATTCCATACTAAAATGTTTGCTTACCAATCTAAATATACAAATTTAAAATGTTGCAGAAATTACTTTAGAAGCCTGGCCTATAAGAGTGCTTGCCTATCATGGACAAAGCCCTGGGTTTGATAAACTAAGCGATAATACAAGTACAAGTACGTTCACATTAGGTGTAAGGATCCTTAACAGTGAGAGAAGCTGGTTTAGGGATATAGCTCAATGGACTATAGTTCATTGAAGGTTCAAGACCCTGTCTGGGTTCAAGCCCTACTCCTCCCCCAAAAGGGAGAGCAACAGACAAGAGAGACCGTAGAGATGCAATGAGAGAAATCTTGCCTTTGAAAGCTTTGAAAATGGAGAAAAGGAGTTAGCCAAGGTGAGTATTAGTTAAAGCTACAGAAAGGAGTTCTATCTCAGCCAATTCCTTGATTTTAGCTATAAGAGATGTGTTGGATTTTTGGCATACATGTATTTTGTCTGAATTGTTAAACCAACCAGAGAAAGCTAGTACTATATCCAACCAATAGTACACCAGGAAAATGGGTTAAAAATTGTAAATTGGCAGTTTTTAAACATGTGAAAATGGTTTTATCCTAGTGGTAGAACACTTGCCAAGGAGTTCAAGGCCCTAGATAAATCATGAAATAGACATCGTAAAAAGTCAATAAGGGTTCGAAATGTGAAAAGACACTTGTTTTGTGGCCTTGGGGATAAATTAGCTGATTCAGTGAAAGAAAAGCAGGGCTGAGATGTAAGGCTGAGGAGAAATGGTCAGAAAAATACAGAAGCTACAAATGGCACACACCTGGAGTCCCCAAACTTGGGAAGTTGAGGGAGGAGGATAATGAGTTGGAGACTTATTACATAGCAAGACCTTGTCTCAAAATAAAATGTATAGGTCAAGTGGATGAAGAGAAGGACTAGGTGCAGTATACAAACAGCTGCTTATATCATGGTACTTAGGTGAATGAATGTGTTTTTCTTTCACTTGGTATGAAGTGTTTCTCTCCAGCAGCATCAGACTTTGTTCCTCTGGCCCTGCAGCTTTACCCTAGAGAGAAGAGATCTGTGGACTCCTTAAAGTTTGAAAAGACAAACAACAGAATGCTTTATCTTTTCTAGAATAGTGGTTCTCAACCTTCTAATGCTGTGAACATTTAACCTAATTTTTATTGCTACTTTTATAACTAATTTTGCTACTGCTAATCATAATGAAATACCAGTTTTCGTATGGTCTTAGACAACCCCTTTGAAAGGGTTGTTCAGTTCCCCCACACCCAAAGGGGTTGTGACCTGTAGCTTGAGAGCTGCTGTTCCAGAACCTAACCAATAGAGGGGATATGGCTCTAGCAGAATAGGGAACTGACATCTTCCGTAACCTAGACTTTAAAGAAGACATAAATGGGATTTGTCTAGTTGAACTACTTTATTAGGATTTTCTCTTTGTCTCTATTTCTCTACCCACAACTGGTTTGGTTTGGTTTATGGGATACTGGGTGCCGTTACTGCCATACTTTTACTGACTGGATTTTGTCGGCGGGGTCTATGAACACCAACAAATTTAGTTAACAACCTTTGAATACCTCTGGTAGGGGGAGCCTTGGATGTGGAGGATGGGCACCGCTTATAATGGCGAGGATTCTGAGCATCACCAACCTTTGTCTTTTGTTGATCCCAGGGACCAGAAGCATTTGGGAGAAGCTGCTGTGCAAGAGCAGTGTGTGAACTCTGAGCTTTGTACTGAGACTTTTTAGAAAATGTGTGTATAGGGGCCTCTGCTGGTCTGCAGGCCTGAGCAGGGTGGTTTTCCCCTGTGACAGTGGATGATCCTAATTCTGCATCCCCTCGTCCACATCTCTCTGCTTTGCATTTTCTGGGACTCCCTCTTCCTTGGGCTGATAGTATTTCTAAAGTCTTGTCTTGTCTCTGGCCAGAGATCAGAACCTCAGAGGACTCTCCCATTGCTGAACAGTTTTCATCAGCCTTCATGTAAGCATGACCCAGGGGTGGGATTTGGACCATTACCTTCCTTTCCATCCTCTTGTTTTTCTGAGACTCTTGTTCTGCTCTGCTGGCAGCTTGTAGCTGGGGTTGAGAAGGGGAGTGGGAAAAGTGAGGGTCCTGGGCAGGCAGAGGTTCTGTCCTTTGAATTTTGGGGGCATGACAACTTGAAAAGCAGGGGTGCAGATTAAGAGGATGGGTCTGTTGGGAACAAGAGGAAAGTCCCCAAGGTTCTGGAGTTAGGGGTTTAAGGACTGGGGAGCTGCAAAATGAGTGATAGGAACCTGGGGATTTGAAAATGGGGCTCTGCTGTAGTTTTTTCAGTTTGAGCTTTAATTCTCTACTCCATTGCCAGGCGTGGATCACAGGCTGGTCACACACCTCTGGGACAGCCCCACTCTGGGAGGACGAAGCCTCTACTTTTGCTTCTGAGAGTATCTTTTCCTTCTGTAGGCCAGACTTTGGGGCTTTAGCTAGGATGGAAGTTGGTTGCAGAGGATTCTCTACTGGCGGATTGGGACCCTGGGAGGCCTCTTTTTCTTGTACATTTCTACATAAAAACTCAATGTTGGAATGTGGCTCTTGTGATGGAGCAGAGAAAAAGCTGGGGCTTGGTAGTTCAGTGACCCAGAAATCCCTTCTCTGCTCTACTGCTGACTCCATAGGCTTAGAGTTGCACTGGCCTTCAGAAGGCTCACTTAACTGAGAGTTTGGAGGTAGACTGAATTCCCAAACTGAGGATGCAGAGACAGAACAGTTTTCGTTCTGCTGCATGTGCTCTTCAGCAGGCTTAAAGTTAGATAGGATTTCTGAGGGTCTAGCTCCAAGCAGGTATTGGGATAAGCTTTGAGCTGGTAGCTCAGAGGTCAGTAGGTTTTTTCTTTGACTGTCCCCACACCAAGCTTTAGATTTTTTAAATGAGTTCTCTATGGGACTAAGTCTGAGGGTTTGCTGTGCAAGATCTGGGTATGGGTTGAGGTTCCGAAGTGGATGCTCAGAAGACAAACATTTTCCTGTATTGCCAGTATCCTTCCATGTAGCTGCAGATGTAGGGAAGTCATCCACAGTATTGATTCTTTGTGGCACTAGAGGTGGTATGTGGGCAGGATGTGGGGAGTCAGATACCCAGAGATGTTTTCTCTGCTCCTTTGTCTCCCATAAAGCTTTAGGTTCTAACAAGACTCTTTGGGGCCCCATTATTGCAAAGTCTGGCAGAGAGGCAGAGGGAAGGCTAGGAGATGAAACTAGGTCTGCATAGACACAGGAATTTTTTGTACTAGGTCTACCCTTCAAGTGAGTCTTAGATCCCAATGGGACACATTCAGGGGTGGTTTCATAGAAACCCATGTTGAAGTTATTCAAGGTTGGAGTTTTAAAGGCCCAGAGATTGCCTGAGTTTTCTCTGCATTGCCATTTGGCCTCATATCCAGACAGGTCCTCAAGGGGACTCTCCTTCTGGTATCCTGACAGGGTATCTAGAGGACAGGGGTCTGACACTGGAGACTTAGAAACAGGTGGGTTCCCTTTGTATCCTATGTTTCCCCAGAAGTCCTTAGGTGCAGACAGTCTTCCTTTGGGGTTAATATGTTTTACTTCTGACAGAGCATCTGATGGTTGATAGGAGACTGACATTAAGGGATCAAAAGCTTGGGGATTGTCTTTATATACTATGTATCTCCTCTGAGTTTCATATCTAGGGGGAGTTCCTGGAAGGTGAGTACCTTGGGGTTCAGTACCTTGAGGTTCAGTCATGGGTACTGTGAATTGACAAGGGGCCAAGATTGGGATCTCATATCTCTGAGGGTTCTCTTTTTGCATTGTGGTTTCCCAGAGAGCTTTCAATCCAGACAGGTCTCCAATAGGGTTGACTCTATGGCATTTTGTCAGGCAAGTTGGGTGTGGGCTTGCAGTTGGCATTGTACATTCAGAGGCTTTTGGGTGTTCATTTTTCATGGTTATCCATGGCACTTTAAACCTATTTAGGACTTCCTGGGGATTAGCAGGATATGACAGAGAGGCAGAAGGTGATTCTGGGTTGTGTTGATGGAGGCTGGGGTCCCCTGACATCTCTCTCCAGGCCTCAGAAGAACATAAGAATGTGGAGGGTCTGATGTTTTGGAGTTGAGGCTGTGGGTACAGAGCTCGACTCTCAGAGACACAGGAAACCTCGTTGTTGTGTGAAAACCACTGTGTATGTGCCTTGGTGTCAGATATAATCCCCTTGCAGGCCATAGGCAAAGGCTTAAGATTGGAGGACACTAGTGGGATAGGAGGGGAAGATTGAGAACTAGGTGCTGTTCCTTCCAGATCTTCCATCATATGGGCTTCAGGGGTAGGATAGCAAGTTGAGGAGTGATAAGAGGGAAACAACGGTTTGTACACAGGCAGGAAGGCAACCTTGTTGAAGAAGACAGAAGGACAAATAGATAGCTTTCGTGGAGAGGGGCCTTCTGAGCTCAGGAAAATAGTCTCCAAGGACTCACTGTGCAGAGAGGGAAGACCCCAGAAGAGCTGGCTTTTTCTCTGCTGCAGGGACCTCCCTGAAGCTATCTTGTTTCTCACAGGCAGGTTGGTCAGGATCTGGAAGGTAGGGAAAGATCTGGAAGGGCTTGAGGGTTGTGCAAGCACTTGTTCTTGTGGCTCTGTGGCCTTGGGGAGGCCCTCAAAACTACAGGATGGCTGGGCTGGGGCTGCAGTGAGTTGATTTCCAGTGGGAGGGTCTTTGGAAGGAAAATATGGTTTTTGTGGATCCAGAGATAATTCTTCCTTTTCTTCCCCATCCTCTTCCTCCTCTGATTTTTGCTTCCACAGGCAATCAAGAACGGTCAAATGATGTAGAAGTTGTAGGCCCTAGGGAATAGAGCATGGTACTATTAGGTATGACAGCTCCTTAGAGATACGTGATGTGTCACCCTTTCATTAGTCTCTGTTCTACATGCAGCTCACCTGCCTTACAGTGGCTGTAAGGCAGCCACTGCCGGTAAGTGGCTGCTTACCAGGCTGTTCATCCATTGTTAATGTCAGAGCCAGCTCTCATTTAGAGATCAGCATTTCCTCGTGTACCCTAGGGTCAGTGAGTACTCACTTGCTTTTCAAACCTATGTCACTGATCACTCACCCAGTCACTAAGCCATAGGCTTATAGTCCCTTATCTGTGTGCACATCCATAACAAGAATCTTCCATTTGACCTCACATATCATTTTAGTAGTTTTACCCTGTCCCATGTGCAAGGTCAGTGGTCATCTACCTTGCCTTGCATCATTATGTTGCCAGAACACCAGGGCTGAAACTGTTGCCATGTCCCAAGCTGCCACCATCTTCGGATCTGCCAAACCATGAACAAGAATAGTATCACCAGATTCCCTGGACTCTGGAGACAGATGCTGCTGCTGCAGTGTCTGCAGGCCAGAGCATGGGTCAGCTGGCCTTGGAGAAGACCCATATCTCCCTTATCCCTAAGCAGGTCTTCTAGGAGCCATTCCATTTTCTTCAGCCTAGTGGCAGTTTATTGAGGTCATCACTACATCATAGAACATAGAATCTCAACTCCCACATGGAGCTGCCTCCTGGAGCTTAGGGCCAAAATGTTGCCTTTATCAGATAGCTCTTCTCATACAGTGGAGTCTCAGTGCTCTGCTTTTGATGGCCATGATCAGAAGTTTGTGTGCTTTAGGACATGCATTTTTAACATTGAACCATGTTATCCAACTCTCTGACCGTGAAACCTCAATCAAACAACTTAGTATCTCATGTTTTTGTTGTTAGTTTTGAGACAGGTAAGGTCTCACCACCATATTCAGCCTATTGCCTCCATTTTTAGGATTAAATGAATATGTGTATTTAGAACAATACCTGGTATATAGTATATTGTGTGTGTTCCTGTGTGCTTGATTTGTTTTAATTTCATCCCTAGCATAATCTATTTTTAATGGCATTTTCATAGTACTAATTTTGGTTATTTCTCATCCCAATCCCTTCTTCTTTGCTGTCTCCTTATACCACTACACTTCTGCCCCATATAATATCCCATTTCACATTCACATCACATGCTCTGTTACCTTTCTATCTTTTTTCTTTGAACCTCTTTTTCCTCTCTTCAAGGGATCCTTTCTACTTTCCTGATCTCCTCCTATACTCACTCTCACATAAATACACATACAGGAAAATTAGAAGCTAGGCTCTGCATACAAGAGAGAACATGTATTTTTCATTCTGAGCCTATGTCTTAGTTAGGATTTTTATTGCTGTGATGGAATACCATACCCAAAATAAATTTGGGGAAGAAAAGGCTTATTTCAACTTTTACTTGCACATCATAGTTCATCAATTGAGGGAAGTTGGGGTAGAAACTCAAGGCAGAACCTGGAGCCAGGAACTGATACAGAGGCCATGGAAGAGTGCTGCTTACTGGCTTGCTCCTTATGGCTTGCTCAGCCTGATTTCTTATAGTACTCAGGACTATCAACCCAGGGTTGGCACCCACCCAACCCTGCATAGTGCACAATGGCCTGGGCCCTCTAACATTAATCATCAGTTACAAAGATGAACTATGGTCTTGCCAACGGGCCAATCTGATGGCGGCATTTTCTTAACTGAGGTTCCCCTTCCCCAGATGACTTTAACTTGTGCCAGGTTGACATAAAACTAACCAGCACAGCTTGGGTTACCTCAATACGTATATTTTCCATTTCTTTCCACTTTCCAGTGTATGCATATTTGCATATTTTTTCTTTATGAATGAATAAAATTCTATTGTGTATATGTCTTACTCAGGGTTTCCATTGCTGTGATGAATCACTATCATCAAAAAACAAGTTGGGGTTGAAAGTGTTTATACTTATACTTCCAGATCACAGTCCGTCATTGGAGGAAGTCAAGACAGGAACTCAAGCAGGGCTGGAATTTTGGGGCAGGAGCTGATGGAGAGGCTGTGGAGAGGTACTGCTCACTGACTTGCTTCCCATGGCTTGGTCAGCCTACCTCTTACAGAACCCAGGACCTCCAGTCCAGGTATGGCACCACCCACCATGGGCTGGGCCCTCTCCCCCATTGAGTAACTAATTGAGAAAATGCCTTACAGCTGGATCTCATGGAGGCATTTATCAAGTGAGGCTCCTTCCTCTGTGATGGCTCTAGCTGTGTCAAGTTGACACACAAAACCAGCCAGTACACTATGTATCACATTTTCATTATCCATTTTTTTGGCAGTGAATACTTAGGCTGATTTCATGTTCTAGCTACTGTGAGTAGAGCAGGGGGGGAAAATTCACAAAAAGCCAAAAACAAAAAATGTGAAGGTGCAAGTATCTATTAGGTAGGCTATAGAGCCATTTGTATATATGCCCAGGAGTGGTATTGCTGAGTATAAGTTATATGGTAGTTCTTTTTTTTAGTTTTAGGGGTTTTTGTTTGTATTTTGTGAAACCTCTACAATGATTTCCATGACACCAGTTCATACCCTCACAAGTGTGAGACAAATGTGGGAATATAGGATAATTCTGCCATCTTCCCTTTCATCCTTTCTTCAAACCCCCCCCCCCATTATATTTATATTGACAGGCCCTTTGCCATAGTAACTATTTTGGAACTCACTATATATCCTAGATTGGCCTCAAACCCATTACAGGAATGAATCATCATTCCTAACTTTTCATCTTTTAGATTTTTTTTTTTCCAAGGCAGGAGATCATTATGTAGTCCTACTAGCATAGAACCTGCTGTGTAAACTGGGCTAGCCTAGGATCCATAGAGATTATCTGGTGTGTATGTGTGTGTGTTTGGGTGTTGTGAGGTGTCCTCACACTGTTGAGCTAAAGTAGTACTTCTCCCTCAGCCTCTTGAGTAGGTGGGACTATAGGTTCAAAGAAGAATAAATGTGTACAAGTTCAACATCTTCAAACTTTATTTTTCTTGTTTCCCCTCATACCCACCCCAGACAGGGTTTCTCTGTGTAGCCCTGAATGTCCTGGAACTCTCTCTGTACCAGGCTGGCCTGGAACTCAGAGATCCGCCTGCCTCTGCCTCCCAAATGCTGGAGTTAAAGGAGTGTGCCACTACTGCCTGGTGTGTTCAAACTTTGAATTGCAGAGAAAAACTACAAATTCATTAAGTAAATGTAGAAAACCACATTATTCATACATGGTGAATGTCTCTAGTTTACCTAAATAAAAAAGAATGAGAATTGGCCCTGAGCCTTTCCTTTTATATCCTTTTTTTCCCCATAAAATTTGTTTTGTGGATAATTATAGTTTTTCAGAGAAAATTATGGATAGAAAAACTATATTGGTTTTGTGTGAATTGTTATTTGGGAGCGATGAGACCACTGTTAAGTTTAGTCACCACATTTTCTGTTCTGGAAATGACAGTCTCGTTCAGTCTAATTGTAAACATACATATGTGCTCAACTGCAGTAAGTACATAATAAAAACTGTAATATAAGGGCATGCAAAGGATGCTAAGAGAAAAAAGATCCCAGAAATGCACAAAGTGGCAACAAGGAATGATTGGCTGGAATTGGAAGTTCCTTTTAGTCACCTTTGTCTTTTGCTCCACGTGTAAGGATATGTACGAACTCAGTGTAGCTGGAATTCCCCAGTTGTCGGTATGCACTTCTATGCACTACTGATCCAATTTGCTATCTAAAGCTGACGGCTCACGTTTGTCATCAGCTCAGGCAGTCCTGAATGTTGCCAGTTGTTGGTGCCTCTTCATCCTCTTTTCTACATTTTATTTTACGTGTATGATGTTTTGCTTGCATGCATGTCTGTGTACCACATCCCTGCCTGGTGTCCAAGGAAGTCGGAAATGGGATTGAATCCCCTGAAACTGAAGTTATAGATATGGGTGCAGGACTTGATCCTGGGTCTATTGGAAGAGCAGTCATTACTCTTAACTTTGGAATCATCTCTTCAGCTTCTACCAATCTTTATCACAGCAAGCTAAAGCACTTCTGATGTCATTTTCAGAATCTGTGTGTGCCATTCAGCAAACATAGCTTCATTCATCACAGCATCCAGATACTTATCAGCTGGGGTTTTCTCCAGTGATGCCAGAATAGCATGTGAACCTGCTCTGTCAATGAAATCCTCTGTTTTGGTCAGTCTTGTTGAAGGCCTTCTTGAATTTGTGGATCTGTAACTGTTTATATATGGCAAACATATTGGATGTTGCATGCTGAAGGACTTCTTGGTGATCTTGTTCTTGACCCTTTGGATTGACATTGTGGGTTCATCCCTGCACAACTGTAAGAGTCAGCATACCTTGGTAAAACCTTGCTATCATGATCCTTCTCTTTTATTTCTTGTCCTTCAGTGTCAATGCAGAGGGGAAAATACACAGCAAGTAGGCATTTATTGCTAAGGGTCTACCTGTTCAGCTCAAAGCTCTCAAGGGTTAGCTCGTTCCCTCTCTTCAGGGCCCACAGTCTTTGAGAATGTTCATTGCTAGAGCTCATTTCTGTCAGCAAAACACTTTTCAGTGAGGAAACTAAAAGAAGAAACCAGCAACCAGAACACCAGAAAATTATGGTTCTGCTTATCCCTGAAAATTGCTGATGAATGCCCACCAGGTGGCAGTGTGAGATGCAGTAGAACAAACACCCCAAGACCAGCTTTCTGAGTCTTGATTTTGGACAAATTATTTAACTTCCCTGAGGCTTAGATTCTTCCTTGAGATACTTGGCCTGTGTCCCTCACAGGATGTTTTCAATGAGCATATGGGATAATGGACAAGAAAGTGCTTTGACATACACAATGTTATTGCATAACTGAGCCCATTAGTTGTCATTGGTCTCTAGTCCCCTAGTGCCTCACACAAAAGACTGTTTTAGGCAGCTTCTGTACAGCTCTTCCTTGTTCCATCTTCATCACATGTGACCAAGCCTTGGAGAGAGCTTACCAGAAAACAACTTATGAGACTCAAGACTGGCTTGCTCTTGGGAATGGGATGGGGTTGGGGATGGGGGTTGGTATTCAATAATCTCTTCTGTACCCTTCTTCTTTGCATGACTTATGCCAGTCTAGAGCCCTAGGGCAGGTGGGATTGAGATGACGGGTAGAGATTGAAAGAATTCTTTGGCATGAAGGGTAAAAGAACTATTATGAATTAATGATGGGAGAATGTGACTGGCCCCTCAGACTTGTGAGGCCTTCCTGTACCCATTCTGCCCCTATCTGCAGCAGGCACTACCAGTGTTTTGCAGCCATGTGGGAAAGATTCTTGCTGAAGGCAGCTTGGAGCAAGTTTCCTGCTGGGAGAATCTGATGAAGCAAGGGCAGAAGCCAGCCTGCTGTTTGGGAGGTTAGGAAAAATGCTGCTTCTGCTGTGTCCCCAGGCTCCCCAGTTCCTCTGCTCTTGTGGTGTTCCTGGGCTCCCCAGTTCCTCTGCCTGAGTCTCCCTGGCTTCCTTGGCTTCCATTCTGTGACCAGACCTTCTCAAAACCCAATTGACAGTCTCTGTGTGATCCTGTTCAACACTAGCCTGTTTTTGAACCTGTCAGATACACACAATGGAAACCACATCAACGGCTATAGAGGCGTGGGAATCCCCAGAGGCCCGGCTTCCATGCTATACTCTACCTGAGCTTCACTTGTAATTTTGCCCGCATGTTAGTTGGCTTCCCTCTTATCTTTCATGCACTGCAAGAACGGTAGCTCCAGCCTCTGTCACAAAGTCCACTTCGCCCTTGCCTATGTACTGTCACTAACCTCCTTCCCTATCTACTCTTACATTAATGATATTTAATTACATCTGTTTATTTACTTCAGTACATGTGTGGGCACAAATGCCATGGCACATGTGTGGACAGAGGACAGTTTGCAGGAATTTGTCCTCTTTTTCCACCATGAGTATCCCAGATGTTGAACTCAGGTTGTCAGTCTTGGCAGGCAGCACCATTTCCCATGGAGCCATGTGGCTTGCCCTCCTTTTCCTGTAAAGCTCTTCTAGAGATCTGATGGGTTCCTTGTTCTTAGTTAACTTTTGATTCCACTTCAGCCCTGCCAACAGGGTCTCTGCTAACAAGCGCTCTCTCTTACTGCTGCCTCTGCTGCCTGTGGATATGCAGTCCAGCCCTGTGCCACAGCTGCAGCGCTCTGGGCACCTTGGAACTAAACTCAGAAAAACACATCCTCACATAGTAATTTTAGTTATTTTCCAGCAAACAGCCACAGGTGGCATTCTTAGTTCAGGCTGTCTCCTTTCAAATGAGCTTTGTTTTCACAGGATAGGATCTCTGAGGGCTGGGTACTGCCCTTGGGACCTTCTCATTGTCTCTATGCAGACCATATGGTTCTCTTTTCTTTTAATATTTAATTTTCTCTTAATTTTTTTCAGTTTTATGTACGTTGTTGTATATTTATGCATGTTTTGTTTATGTGTGTGCACATATACATGTGTCCTTTTGGGCATAAAATATTATTTTTTAGAATGTGTACACATCAACTCATATTTGAAGTACTGATTTATGCAGGAGTATTTTTTCTCTAAAAATTTCTTAGATTTAGTGCGCACTGCCCAGGTGAGCTGAAGAGGGTATTGGTTCTTCTGGGACTGGAGTTACAAGCCTTGTGAGCTGTCATGTGGGTAAGATAAAAAAATACAAATAAAAATATTTGTACACACTCTTGTTTTTATCTTTGTAATTAATTTTACTTGTTCTCTTTATTTCTGCATGTACATTTGGGTTCCTGCTTAGTCTCCTTTATGTCCTTTATGTTGGCCTGAGGGACTGCCTTTAGGAATTTCAGGGCATTTGCTGGTGATTTTCTCAGTCTTTACCTAGGGATGTCTTGAATTCTCCTTTAGTGTTTTCTTTGAGACAAAGTCTCACTGTGTAGCCCCAGCTGTCTTGAATCTCACTAAGTAGATCAAGCTGGCCTTGAACATCCAGATAACCACCTGCCTCTGCCCTCCTGAGTGCTGGGATCAAAGGTGTGTGCCACCTGTTTTTTGCTTTTTATTTTTTTTTTTATTTTTTTACTTTTTGGTTTTTTGAGACAGAGTTTCTCTGTGTAGTCCTGGCTGTTCTCAGAGATTTGTTTGCTTCTGCCTCCGAAGGGCTGAGATTAAAGGCGTGTGCCACCATCGCCCAGCTACCTGTTTTTGTTAGTGTCTGTCCACTAGACTTTCCCTCAAACTTGCTATCTAGCCCAAGGTGAACTGGAATTCATAGTCTTTCTGACTTAGTCGAAATGTTTTTTTTGTTTGTTTGTTTGTTTTGTTTTTTGTTTTTCCCTCCTGCTGGGATTGAATAGAGCCTCTCACAATAAACACTTTGGCTAGCAAACACTTGCCAATGATCTCCATTACTGAGCAGTTTGGGTGTACAGAGTAATAAGGTCTCTTATCATTTCCTTCTTTTTCCTCTTCCTTTTCTTCCCCTTTCATTTCCTAGTGCTAGGGTATCAAGCCCATGGTTTTGCATATTTTTTACCTGTTGCTGGAACTTTCATTATTTATGTTTTGCTTGGTGGTGTTTCACAAATATTAAAGGCTTTCTTCACCATTATTATTTTTTTCTCTCTGATTCTCAAATTGAATAATTCCTTTGACTTATCTTTAAGTTTACTGATTTTTGTCTATCTTTCTAATCGGTTCATATTACTATCAAAATTTCATTTCAGTTGTATTCTTCAACTCCAAAGTTTCTATTTGTTGATTTAAAAACTACACACTGTAACATTAGCTCACAAGCCAATAGCCTGCTTCTAGGGTGCATTCAGATGTGTACTTCATCTGTATACCAGATATAAAGGACTGGCCCATCACTGCACACTCTCCTCTGCTTCAGTTTCTCATCTCTTCCCTTCTCTTCCCTGTGCCTGGGGTAACTCCCCCCTCCCCCCCGCCGGCTCTATCACTCTTTCTCTGTGTGTGTGTGTCTCCATCTGTGTACAACAAATTTCTTTACACCAGATCTTTTTATGTATTTTACTTTTCGCTCCCCTTTGTTTTTTGAGACATGGTTTCTCTGTGTATCCCTAGCTGTCCTCAGACATACTCTGTAGACCAGGTGCCCTCCAACTTAGAGATCTGAGTGCCTCTGCCTCCTGAGTGCTGGGATCAAAGGTGTGCGCCGCCGCCGCCGCCGCCACCGCCACCACCACCACCTGGCATATTTTACTTTCTTATGAGAGTTTTTGCTTGAATGTATGACTGTGTACCACCTTCATGCAGTGTCTAAGGAAGCCAGAAGATGGCATATAATCACCTATAACTGAAGCTACAGACAACTGTGAGCCACCTTGAACCTTGGAAGATCAACCAGTGCTCTTAAGTGCTGAGCCAAATCTCCAGTCCTACCCCTGAAAAGTGTAATAGCCGCTTAGGAACTGGGACTGTAGTACTCTCAGTCTAACATTGTCTAAGCACCTCTTTGAAGTTTTCCTTTCTTGACTCAGGCCTTAAGCGTTGAACTAAAAGCCAAAATGGTATGACTGGAGTGTAGGAGAGAGGTGGAGCTTACTTCTGAAGCCATTTGAATCCATAATGGTTCAGGTGACAGAGCCCAGCTGAGGTTCCTTCTCTAGTCTCCCTTCTTAGCAGCTGTGCTTTAGATCTTAAAGCTAAAGAACACTGTTCAGCTCCTTGAAAGAAACCCTCAGACAGATTGGCAAATATGCTCACTAAAAATTCAGTCCCGCTGGGTGTGGTGGTGCACACCTTTAATCCTAGCGCTTGGAAGGCAGAGGCAGATCTCTGTGAGTTCAAGGCCAGCCTGGTCTACAAAACAAGTCTAGGACAGCTAGGGCTACACAGAGAAACTCTGTCTCAAAAAGCAAAAATAAAATAAAATAATAAAATAAAAATAAAATATAAAATAAAATAAAAAATTTCAGTCCCACTCCCAGGTGTTGGTGCCATGAACCTTTAATCCCAGCACTCAGGAAGCAGAGACAGGAAGATGTCTTTGACTTTGAAGCTATCCTGCTCTACATAGTGAGGTCTGGATACCCAGGGCCACACAGAGAAATCTTGTCTCAAGAACAACAAAAATCAGTGCCAAGGCTAAGGGTATAGTTAAGAGGGACAGCACTTGCCTAGAGCATTTAAGGTCCCATGCTTGGTTCCCAGTGCCTGTCCTCATCTGTGAGCAGGAAAGTCCAGAGACCCGAGACTTCTATGGGCTGTGGCTCAAAGGGAACCCTCAATTCAAGAAAGAGCATGCATTTTTTTCCCCTCATGGTATCATGGACAGACTTTATAGGAACAGGGACAAGAGGCAATCTGGAGTTACCCAGCAGGAGGACAGGTCCAGGTGACAAGAGGACACCATGTGATGTGTGCAGCTGAGGATGGGCAGTACTTGGAAGCAGCAGATGAAGAGGAGAGAGGTTGGGGGATGCATCACCAAGGGGGCAGCCTTCCAGTCTTCTCCTTAGAAGGCTATTGGAGATTTGGAAATTCATTCATAGTCCAGCGGAGGCCAAGGAGAAGTGAGGTGCAAGGAGGCTGCAGCTCCCAAGTCCTAGCCCTGGTCTTGAGCAGTGAGCTAGCTGAGCGGTGTCAGAAGCTAAGTGGTGGTGTGACTCCAGGGGCTAAGCTGGTTCAAGGTCCAGGGCAGCCAGGTCTAAAGACATTGTCATACAGAATGAGCAAATGGGTGCCATAGTTCTGTCACTACAAAAATCACACACACGGTGCAGGTTCCTGAGGAGGCCAGACCTTGGGGGTTCCCCTGAGCATAAGTGAGCTGCCTGATGTATGTCCTGGGACTGAGCTTGGCTCCTCTGTAAAAACAGGAAGTGCTCTTAACTTCTGAGCCATTGATCCAGCCCACTTGGTGGCCAAATTTTGTCTTTGGGACTGTGCCTACTCTCATCAGTTAGGAAGTCCTCCATCCCCTCTGAAGAATAAAATGTAATTCAAAGAGAATGTTTAGATGAATCTGTTAGATCTCCTGTTGACACAGCTTCTGGAGAGGCTAGGCTCTGATTTTCATAACCAAGGGTATCTTTTTTGAAGACAGCTGGCCTGTGGCTTCTAGCTTTGTTGTTTGGGGTATATGTTCTGGAATTCTAAGAAGTCAGAGCAGAAGAGGTCAGCTTCGGCTTATACTGAGGTTGCTTGGCATTTCTGAGGTGATCAGGCTCTGGAAAGAGGCTGACAGTGCCACTACATTCCTACCTGAATCCCAGGGTCACTGCTCCTGCTCAGAGGCCATATTTTTTAAAATACTTTATTTCTTTTCATAATACTGTCATTACAAAAAAAATACAAAAAAAAACTACTATAAAAACATTCAGGGGCTTGTCAAAGTGAGAGACCCTAAAGACCCCACCCCAGGACCCACTGAAGCAGTTTTCTCCCAACTCCTTCACTGTGTGACTTTTCTACAACTGTGGGAGTGGGGTGAGGGTCACACCAGCAGAGGGGGCTGGAAACTTCTGACACAGCCTCCAAGAAAGGTAAGAAATAAGTAGCTTCACATATCACAAAAGTGGGGTTTGGAAGTTTGGGGTGGCTACGCCCTGAGTTCAGAGATGTGGGGAGAAACCTGTGATCCTGAATCTCTTGGTGGGGAATAGCTGCCACCTGACCCCAAAGCCCTTTTCCTTCCTGATGATGGTGGGAAGATGGGTCCTGCCCCACCTCAAAGCTGTGATGGTTCAGCCCCTTTTTCTTTTCTCTACCCTTGAACCGTCCTTAGCTGGGGAGACAGATTCTCCAACTCTGCGGGTTGGAGGCAGGGCAGCTGTTGTGGAGGCTCCTGAGTGTTCACTCACCTCCCTGCCCCAAATGAAAAGTGTCTCGTGCTCAGTGGATGGCCTTGTTCTCTCCCCTCCCTATCTCCGCTCCTCTCTTGTCTCCCAGAGACACAGGCGACTTTAGGCAAGTGCTTCATGTGCATGAATACTGGTGTGGTAGCCTTGGACACTGCACACCTGGGGCCAGGGTAGGAAGCGGTATCCTTCCTATCCTTTCTTCAGAAACAGGAGGAAGCCAAAGGGAAGGGAGAGGAAGGGTGTTAGCAAGGCTGAAAGGGGTGGAGGACATGCTATTTACAGGCATGGACAAGGAATCTATATCTTCAAGTAGCACTCAAGTCACTCTTCAGCCACTGCAGTGGGAACTGGATTTAGAGCTAGTGACAGAAAATTGACCCCTGGTCTGGGCTAGCTTTCCCCACCTCCCTCCAATTCCCCCAAAGCAGCCCAGCTCTGAAAGGGATTGGGGACAGGAACATTTTCCTGAAAATTCAGTGGCTTTTTTTTTTTTTTTTTTTTTTTTTTTTTTTTTTTTTTTTTTTTTTTTTCTTTTTCTTTTTCTTTTTTTTTTTTTCATTTTAGAAAAGTGCCAGTGTCCGGTGAACATCCAGGCGGGTCCACATGAGTTGGGGTGAGTGTGGGGTATTGCTGTGGTAGGCTCAAGACTGGCCAGGGTAGAGCCTAGGAGCAGGGTAGATGCTGCTTAAGGATCTGCCGCGTCTGTGGTGTTAATCTGTCTGGGAATCGAACTTTGAACTCAACAATAAGGTCTCCCCGCTGAGTGGGCACCTTGGGGAAGGGAAGACCTTCCCCACGGAGTCTCTTCACGGTGCCTGGCTTGATGACATCATTACAGGGTAAAGGGATCACTCGACCATCAATGGTGGGAATGTTCACGGTGCAGCCACAGAGCGCCTGGGGAAAACAAGGCAGAGAGTGAGGGGAAAGGAGGTAAAGCGTGAAGAGGGAGGAGAAGGAGTTACATGGAAAAAGAATATGCCAGAAAGGAAAGGAAGGAAATGCTTCCTATCAACCTCCAAGAGACAGACAGACAGACAGACACACACACACACCCTACCTCCTTGAGGCTGATCAGTGCACTGTAGAGCACATTGGTGCCATCACGGCGGAAGTGTGCATGAGGCTTGTCTTTGAGCACGAAGACAATGTCGGCTGGGATGTTGTCAGGTGTGGCATCACCTTCTTTGGGGAAGGTGATCTTGGTGCCTTCCTTCCAGCCACGCTTGATGACGATGTGCAGGATTTTGTCCTCAGTGCGCACAGTTCGACCATCAGGGTTAAGGCGCCGTCTCGTGATCTTCATACGCTTGGTGGAGCCATGGTAGATCTCCTCCAGGGACACCCGCAGCTCATGCACCACAGGGGGGTCCTGCACCTTGCGCCGGGGGTACAGTGGTTCTGGGGCTCGCCTTGGACCCCTACTCAGCCCATTGAAGCCAAAGCGGCCAAAGGCACCAAATGGGTCCTCATCTTCATCCACGTCCATGTCATCTGGGTCAAAGCCGCTGAAGGGTCGAGTAGAGCGGCTGCTAGCAAAGAAGATATCAAAGGGATTGGAGCCACCAAAGAAGGAAGCAAAGGTGGCATGAGGGTCCCCATGAAAGGTGTAGTGAAAGGCGCCACTGGAGCCACCTGACGTTCCGCCGCCGGTCTTGAGGCCTAAAGGGGAAGAGAAGTTAGGGGCAGTGTGGTCCATCCTGGTCCTGTCCCAGCCTCTTCCCTCTGCCCACTGAACTGCTGGCTAGAGAAAGAAGCAATCTTTAACTCCCACAGACAGGACTAGACTAACAGAAAAAGAAAAACTTTGGACAAGATTAATTTCCACTCAGTTGAATGCATAGTTAGGAATATGTATTTAGCTGTGGTAGTGCATGTCTGTAATCTCACTGCTCAGAAGATGGGTAGGAAGATTGAGAGTTCCAGGCTAGTCTAGGCTATGTAGTGAGACCTTGTCTCAAAAAGTAAAGCAAAACAACCTGCATCTTGAGAGTCCATCAAGCTGAGTTAACCAAAAAGTGGGAAAGCCAGGACTAGGGGGCTTAGAAGATGTGATTTTTGTTATGTAATTATTTCCACGTACTCACAGTCCAAACATGTCCCATAAAGGCTTGGGTGGCTGGCTTTGTATTATAGGACAGGCCCTACCTGACCCTCAAATCTCTACTTCCCAAGACACCTGGGTCTAGAGACAAACAGACAGGGTTTGACCACAAAGGAGGATAATAGGTGACCTGTCCTAAAGGAAGTGTGGACACAATCTAGGAGGAAGCCTACTTTGATTCTGCTTCATCTTTTCCTACTTTTTGCTCAACCTAGAAATCAAGAAGTCTCAAAGCAAAACAAACAAAACAAAACAACAAAAAAACTAAGAAAGCTAGTTGATATGGAAATGAGGAGCTATTTTTCTAGAAAAACAATGAGTTATGTTATCTCCATACTCTGACTAGCACTGCACAGCTTTCGGGACTGCCACTCACATATTGTGCAGAACGGACTACAGTGGACCAGCTCTCAGCTCGGCATCCCACATCTAATGTGGAGCGACCATGGCAAGTCAGGGTGCTGGCACAAGCAAGGGATGACCCAGCTGCTCTCTCTGGAGCTGGGTATTGTTTAAGGGATGATGCTTTGATTTGTGTGTGATGGAGTAGTAGGAGGGATGTGGAGGGGCTTAACGCAGACTGGCCCTGCTTCGGGGATAGGGCCCAGGGGAGGGGCCTCTCGTTAAGGCTTACTTGTTTATTTATTTAGTGCTTCTTCGGTGGACCTAGGGTTCTGTGTGCTCTAGGCAAGTGCTCTAGCACTAGGTTATATTCTTAGCCCTTTTTGAGATTTCTTATCTAAAATTTCAGTTGGCCTTGGGAACCTGGGCCTACATTATCCTCTGATTTCATGAGACCACAACGACAGTTTTGGGTTTCATTAGAGAGGCCAAATAAGTAGCAGGCATTCAGGGGCTTGTGGCTGCTGCCTCTTAACCCCTCTCCTAAGACTTGGGGTCTGTTCTTTCTGTTGCAGGCATAGCTATGGAGCAAGGATAAGAAGCTAGGCAGAGCTTGGTGAGAGAGCAGGAGACTAGAATGATGACAACAGGAGGTAATTCTCACTGTGGGGATTCCTGCTCTACCACCCACCCCACTTCAAGCAGAAAACAACTTGTCCCAAGCCAGAGCTGTACAGACTCTGCACAATTGTTTTGGCTGGCTGTTGAGGAAGAGGCAGGGTGGACAGACTATAACTGACTTTCCAGGGCTGCTTCTCCCTCCTTCAGCCCCAGAGGTCTTTCCTGAGCCACAGTGCACCTGATGTATACTAGAACTCAGTGTCTTGGCCTAGGGTACACATCTGGATGTTGCCTTCACTTGGTCTTGGTGATAGATGAGGTGGGGGAGGAAGTTTCTGGGTAGCTTGTCCCACCTCCTTTCTTAAACAAAGGTTAGGCTACCGCAGGGCTAAATGCAGTTTTGAGACAGGCCACAGGGAGGCATGGTGCCTGCACTGCTTCCCTTCTTTCCTACTCCCAACACTTCCCATCCGCTCTGCTCTCCTTAGACCGGACAATGCCAGGGATCTGGGCAGGTGCCTGGTCTCTCTGAGAATTGGCAAGTCTAGGAATGATCAGGGGAAAACTGGAATGAGCTCACAGCATGGAGACTAAAGAGAGGGGGATGGGAAGGCAGGGCGCAGGGAGAAGGGCAGAGATGAGCAGAGCACAAAGTGAGGACGGAACATAAAGAACACTCTTGAGCCCCTGCTCATGGCAATGTGTCAGCTATAGTACATGTCGGTAGCCTGTTTCATTCTGAGGACAGGCTAGGAAGGTGAAGAGGGGGACGGTGAGAAAGAGTGGTGGAGGTTGTTAGGGGAAGGACAGTTCTTCCTAGGAAGGAGAGTCCTCAGCTGTGACAATGTCTCTTAATATAGCCTGACAGGTGCCTGTGGCTGGCGGGTGGCAGGCAGCCCCAAGGGGCAGGCCCAGAATTAGCAGCTACATCATGCCCGTGGGATGTGCTGGGAGGAGCCACCCTCTTACAAGCTTTATTTGGTCCTTTCCTGCTACCCGCCCTGTGCATGGCACCAGCTGCCCTAGGGAAGGGGTAAGATGCCAGCAACATCTCCCCTTCCACTCCTGGAACCCTGCCATTTCCTCTCCAAGGCAAACTTTTTCTGTTCTGCTGGCCAGGGATTGGGGGTGGTGGCAGCAACCATTTTTCACTCGGAACTCCAGTAGTTAACTCCCCGCTATTCCAGGGCCAGACTTTTATGCTGATGAATGGAAATGCCTCAGAGAGTCATGGGCTCTCTCTCCGCAACCTTTCCTACCAGCCAATGAAGCAGTGGGAACTTCAGGCAGGACTAATAAGGCTGAGAAGGAAAGAAGGTGGGGGAGTAGTGGGGGGAGGCAGGAGGCCTCTGGCTCAGTCTCCAGGCCTCTCTAGGGCCAGAAGGGGACAAGGGTGGGGGATGAAAAAGATGGGGAGGACAGTGAGTGGAGACCGGGTAGTGAGTGGGCTACTCTAGGGAAACTTGCGTCTTTCAACCCTGCTGTGAGAACTGGCTCCCCCAGGGCACGAGACAAACAAAGGGGTCCAGATTCTGGCTACCCTGCTACCTTCTTACCTTCTTCTCCATACTGATCATATAGGCTCCGTTTCTTAGGGTCACTCAGCACATCATAGGCCTCAGCGATCTCCTTAAACTTCTCCTCAGCATTGGGTTCTTTGTTCTTGTCCGGGTGGTACTTCAAGGCCATCTTCCGATAGGCTTTCTTGATCTCATCCTCGTTGGCCCCAGATGGGATTCCAAGAATCTTGTAATAATCTTTTCCCATCACAGCCACTGGACCGGTGCTGGGCTCCTTGTTTCTGAAAGAACCCAGGGCCAATCTTTGGTGCCCTGTTCTCTACAGCTGAGCCCCACTCCTGATGATCCTGTAATACTTAAATGATGATCTGTATGACCTTCAATAGGTCATGTCTATTCCCAGTCTCCCCATCTGTAAAGTGAAAATTCTGGGCTAGATGATATCTTCCAGCTCTCACATGCTGGAGTTCTCTGCTTCCCTTCTCAGCTTCCCGCTGGCTGAAGACTGTGGCCAACTTCGTAGGGTGAGACTGAAGCTCAGGCCCCCAGGCCAGCCTGAGGACCCCGGAGAAGCCCTTCTGGGTGAGATGGCACTGTGGACTGACAGACTCACACAGAAGGTCAGTGTTCTGAGTGAGGTCACCTGAGCTTCATAGTCTCTCCTACGCCACACCTCAGGCCTGTTGCCCAGGCTGAGGACAGCTGGACAGGGAACAGGCTCCAGTCTTCAGCCAGCTGAATCAGGGTATGGGAATCTGGAGTCTTTTCTGCTATCGGGGACCCTAGATCTCTCTGCCCTTGCCCCCAGACTACACTAAGCTTCACATGTGACTCAGATCACAGAGTGACTCACAGTGGAAACTGCTGTTCTACACCCTCATTTGCAAGGGGGCACTGTCTTTCCCCAACTAGGGTAACAGTTGCCTTTACTCATTTTCCAGATCTACACACTGATGGGTGTGAATACTTGTCTGTGCTGTGTAAGTACCAACAGCAGTGAACAAAAGCATCAGGGAAAAGGCCTTCTTAAAGCCCAGAAACCAGAAGACAGATGGACACTGACCACCATGTCCTAAATACTGTTGCTGCAAGCCGCTCCTCTACCAGGCTCTTCAGGGTAGGACCTGACTCTGTGCTGGGCTTACACTCCCCTTCTAAGTGGGTTCAAGGACGTCAGCACAGGGCGCTGATTCTTACATCCTAACCTGTTCCCATCAGAGCACCTGTGGAGGGGAGGAGGGGAAGGACTTGAGGGAGTGGTCAGGTGCCATTCTTGAGCCTTTTTGAGGTGGAGCCAGCCCTTGTTGAAACAAGGAGAACCAGAGTCTTTCTAATAATGTGCTGGCAGCCACAGCTGAGGCCTGCTTTTCTGTCCCTGACTGCTTCACAGTAGTGCGGTGTACAAGGTGTCCAGGCAGGAGTGAGGGCTGTGACAGGTGAGGGAGAACCTCTAGGACCTCAGGTAGGCAGGGAGAGTGACCTTAGTTCCTGTCCCACAGGGCCTGCTGCAGGTGTCTGGGTTGACTCACGGTACTGGGAGTCACCTCACTCTGACAAAGAGAAGGCACCATAAAGGCGGGTACTCCCCCATTTCCCCACACCATCATGTCACGCCTGTGGGGGAGGCTGGAGTTGGGGGAGGCAGAGAAGAAAGAGCATCTGGGGGAGGGCAGCCATTTTCGGAAACGGCATTAAAAGCAGTCTGAAAGAGAGAGATGGGGTGGTCTGCCATCTTTGTCTCAGCCCACACTTTCTTTTCCCCAGGACTGGAAGAAACCTAGAACAGCAACAGGGTGCCCAGGGAACTCCAGCAGCTTCTGGGTAGAGGGCAAGCAGTATGGCTTACCCACCTACCTTTTACAGTCCCTTCCTTATCTCTTCACCACTGCCAGCGTCTTCTCTGCCACCCATCTGCTAGCTATTCTAGACCCATAATTCTCTTGCCTCTACAGACACAGGGCAAACGCTCAGGACCTGCCTCCTTTCCCTCCTTCTTTCCACCCCACTTCCCTCTCCCTCCCCACAAGCCATGTGGTTGAATGACAAAAGAGCCCCATGGAACGGCTCTGCCTTTGATGAAATGAGTATGTTAAGGTAGAGATAGGAATGGAAAAAAAAAAAAAAGACAACTAGCAAGAGGGACTGTCAAGTACAGGGAGGAGAGAGGATACTGATGGAGATGTGACAACAGGAAATGGCTGAAATGGAAAACAGCTTACTGATGGGTTGAGAGGAACTGAAGAGCTGAAATATTGGAGATGTTTGTGGAAACAAGGAGTTTGAGAGAGATGAATGATATGGAGTGCAATTCATTCAAATGTATAGACGAGGTCAAATGGCATGTAACAGGATGAGATGAGGATGAGAGGGAGGAAGGGAGGAGGCACCGTGGGGAATGGCTGATGGGAAGAATCTGACCTGCCCTTCTCAGGAGGGACTTACCGAAACTTTACAAACCCATTCAGCGTCCACGCTCGAAGTTTTAAGGGCTCCAGCTGAATTTTAAACATCAAGCTGGCTAAGAAGTCTTCTCCCCAGAAGTGTGGGAAGCTCCGGAAAGCTCCTCGAGCCTGCAGTGGGGGTGCTGCTGAGGGTGGGCAGGACAGCACTGTGCGCTTAAACATGCCCAGCCAAGCCCCTCACCTCTGAGCGCTCCACCGGAGCCTGCTTGGAACGCTGGAGCTCTGGAAGCCACCTCCTCAGATTCTCATAGGCCCTTGCCCAGCAAGGCCTGTCTGCTGCCGCGGGAGCCGGACCTGGTCCCCAGGTGCGGAGTGCAGGGAGAGGGTCCAGGAGCCACCTGCTCTCAGGTACAGCAGTCTGGCTGAATGCGAGTGGCTGTATGGCTGTGTGACAGTGAGGCTGGAAGTGACAGTGTGTGCTTGTTGAGTGGCGGCGTGTGTACACCTGTGACAGGCGTGCTACTGAGGGCCTGAGAGGCCGTGAGCTCCTGGCGCCTCTCTGGGGGGACCCAAGCCCAATCCCCAAGAACCTACTCAATGAAGTCACTGACGGGGAGTCTCCTCCCCCGCAGATGGGCGGGGAGGGGCGGGGCAGAACCGAGCCTGGCCGGGACAAAAGGCGCGGCGGGGAAAGGAAGGAAGGGGGTTCGCGCGGGGGAGGGGGTCGGTGATGTCACCCCAGCTGGCTGGCTGGCCTGCTCAGAAACGCCTCCGCCCGGCGCAACCCAATCCGACCCGACCCACCCCGACCCTCGTCGCAGACACCCAGCACCTGGCAGACCCCGAGCTCCCAGGCCCCGCATCCCTCAGGCAGAGGAGACTGTGGGCCCTCGGTGTCCCAACCCCCATACCAGGACCTGTCTTCTCGACGCCCCACGCCCGGGACCCCGAGTCCTCGCCCAGCGCCCTCACCCGTGAGGAGCTGCGGGCACCGCCGCGGTCCTTCTATCAGCCGCTGCCCCCTCCCCCGGCTCCGGCTCCGCCGCCTCCGCTCGGGACAGGAGTCGCCTGCCCGCCGGCCGCAGACAGCGGGACCGGGAGCCCGCCCCCACGGCTCCGCCTCCGCGCTTCCCATTGCACTATCTGCCCATCACTCAGCTCACGCTCTGCTGTGATTGGACACCTCTCAACGAGCGTCCGGGTGATTGCCACCCCTTCTCCGCCCCTGTCACCCGGCCACACGCGCACACATTCCGGGCAGCGATTGGTGTGGGTGTGATTGGTGCCCTCTGGGATCAATCAGCCACGCCTCTTCTCCATCTAGTCGTGTCATTGGTGAAAGGGACAGGGGAGGCAACCCCAGGCGCCCTTTGATTTTATTGGCTCATCCCTGTGATTTCCACTCAAGCCTGAGGGGGCAATTATATTAGTCCAATCTCCAGTATGAGACGTGATGGCCATCGCTTGAATCAAGGGAGAATCTTCTGGAACGAGTGCAGCCTCAAAGACAACCTAATAGGAAAACTGCACTCACCAGCTAGCGATGACATCAGGCATTCTTTCCTTCATTTAGGAGAGTGGAAGGAGAGGAGTTGTGTGTGTGTGTGAGGGTGTCGTCTCTGGAACAGTGCCAGAAAGCTCACCCCTTCTTACCCGTCTTCTGTCAAATTGTGAGCCAACTTGACCTGGCCTGGCTTGGCTTTACCGTGTCTTGACTTGGGGCTGACCTCACGTGGCTTAGCTGACAGTCTGGGTGCCCTTGGGATCCCTTCTCTGCGTTAGTAACAGGTAACTCAGGAGTGACCCTTCATGCTTTTCAGTCCTTCATGCTGGCTCGCGGTACTTCTCAGCCACTTGGAGCCTGCAGTGTCCAATTCAGACTCCTTATAACCCGCCTTTCCTCCTCACCAACCCCTCCTCCCTCAGTAATACCCGCTCTTCCCTCACCCCAACATTCTGTCTTGTTCTATATCTTTCTTTTTTCTTCTGTCTTATTTTTAATTCATCTCTCTGTTTCTGTTGTCTGCAATACGCATAGCTTTCCCTTTAACCTTTTGCCTCAGCTTCTCATGATCCTCTCTCTTAACACTCTCACACGCTGTCATCTCTGGCCCCCTAGTCCCCTAGTAAATAATTAAATCTCAGCCCCAGTGTCCCCGATACTCAGAGCAGGCGGGGCTGCGGAGGCGTCGCCAGCGGAAGCCGCCGCTCCAGCAGACACTGAGCTTGGCGCCCACGTTACTGTCTCCCAGGCCCATCTGTGCTGGAGGGAGCGGGGGTTGGAAGGGGTAATCTGGGGGTGAAGACGGAGAGGGGGTTCTTGGGAGATTTGGTGACAAAGAAAAGGCCCGAGAAAAATGCTCTCACCTTATTCTTTGCAGTTTCCAGAGATAGATTTAGATACCTATGAGGCCATGCAAAGCAGATAAAACTAAACTGAGGCTTGGTTTAAGAACCTGGTCCCCAGAATGGAGCAGGAGAGCGGTCTGGGGGTTTGGGGGCAAGGTCTACATATCCTTAACTACCTGTCTCTTCCTGGTGCTCCACACGGACTCCCAAGTATAAAGGAATTTGCGTTTAAAGAAGAAACGGAATTAGGGTGAAAAGGAAATGGGGCAGAGGACCAATGCATGAGGGAGGCGGGGCGGGCAGGATCGGGACTGACAGGCGCCTGTTGAAGGAGATGGGATGAGAACTGGAGAGGGGGCCAGAAGACAGGGTGGGAGGCAAAGAGGAACTGAGGGCTGAGAGGAGGTGAGAAGGGCTGGGGAGGAGATATTGGGAGCAACCAAGTGATAGGACAGGGGGACCAGATGAGAAAGAAGGAGGAGGAAGGGATGAGGCAGTGATGAGGGAACGGAATGGTGTACCATGGTGACAGGATCATGGGGAGAGGGGGCCCAGGAGTGATATTGGCTCCAATGATTTGGGGGCTCTCACTGTCCTTTCTCCTGACTGTGGACAGCTGTGTTTCTTCCTAATTCTAGGCCTGTCTCTTGCTGCTCCCAGACTTGCCCTTGCCAGCACAGAGGTAGAGTTTAACCACACACCTTTACCTGGCTTGGCTCAACTGTGGGCATGGACTTCAGGGACTGTAGGTTTTGTGTCCTTAAGAGTGGTGGCCCAAGCTTCATTGTCTACCTGTATCACTAGTGTTTCCTTCTGCGCCACTTTCCAGGGCATCTGAATCAGTGAGCACACTGCAGTGTAGACTGTAAGCCTGTTGACCTCTCTAGGCCATCTGCCACAGTTGTGCCTCATTTGTTCTGGACAAGTGAGCTACAGGCAACAGTACAAGTCCCCACGACTTTTCTGAGGGTTAGCAAAGGTGACTCACATAGTGGTCTCAGTTCCGAGTGTGGCATGTGATTAATGTTCAATCACATTGACTCTTCCTGTGTTCAGGGCTGTCTGGGTGTGTGGGTCCAGCTACAAATGTGTGTGTCTGACTGGGAGTTATTTACTGTTGTAATCATAATTTCTTCATAAGGGTGTATCTGTGTGAGTATTCTTGTGTTGTAGTATGCCTGACTCTGCATTTGCTATAGATGTGTGATTTTGTGTCAGCACACATGTATGATTAAATAAATGGCTGCATCAGGCGTGTGACTGCATGATGAAGAGCGAGGGAAGTATGTGGCTATTGACACCATTTCTGCCAGTGTATATATGCATCTGTGATCATGTTGGCTCCGAACACCCCCGCTTGTCCTCCCTCCTCATGGAGACGTCATAACCCTAGGTGTCCCTCATTTCCTCACCCAGAGGGAACCGGAACCTGTGGGCAGGGGGTTGAGGGTGGGTGCCAGTGAGGAGGAGTTTAAGCAGGAGCACATGTTCCCTCCCAGACTGTGTATGGGAGGGGGAGCCCCTATCTTGCACACATCCCAAAACCTTTAGAGGAAGTGCTTCCCCCCTGGCCTGTTCCTAGTTCCCTGTCTTGTCACCATGGCAGCAGTTGCCAGGAGCTCTCATGGTTGCTAAGATCTGGGTGTGGGAGGATGCCAGGCCCTGTTGCTAGTAGAATCCTGGAGGCAAAGAAGACTACCCCCACAGCTGCCAGCTCTGTGCAGCAACAGCGCTGGCTCTCGGGCTGCCTCTTTCCCCAAACTGAACCTATGATTTGTGTGTGGCAGTACGATGTGTGAGAAGGCTTTAACATGAAGCTGGGGCTGCAGCACCTGAGGAGAAACCAGGCTCCTCCGTCTGCTGCTACCACAGTGAAAGCCAGCAACTCCCAAGAAACTAGAGACTGCCATACTCTGCTTCTCACCTCTCCTACTGGTCCCCTGGGTGGCATTCATGGTCAGTGTTCTCCAGTGACTGGGTCCTCATCACCTGATGTTTCGCCTGGGCATAAGAAAGTTGCTACAAATGCTTCTTGTGGTCAGACCCTTAGCATCTCATGTGATACATGCTTTGTGCTGACATAGGAACATAGGGTTGGTCCCACATTGAGACCCACCTTTGGCATCTGCCTGAGATACTGATTCTAGTTATAATTTTGGCCAAAGGAATCCCTTGAATCCATCCTCAGCTTATTTCCTAGACATAGTTGAACCCTAATTTTAATGCTAGACACCTGAACTCATTGTCCTGTCTTTTTCACTGACTTATCATTAACCATCAAGCTAACTTCCTGGTACTTGCTGGGATCTCTTTGAGCTTTTAACCTTACAGTGATCCATACCTTTGGGGTTTGAGTTGTTTTCCACATTAGATTGGTATGGCAGTTTTAAGGATGGCCAGCAGAGGGCATGTTGCATAAGATTCTCAAGGAAAGCTTTCAAGAGCTTACACCAGTGAACTAAAGTTTTGGTTTCTTGATACCTAAACTTTAACATCATGTGACTGCTTGAGCTTACCGATGTATCTCCAGATCAGCTGGGATCAGGGATGAGAAGGTTCTTAATGCTGACCAGGACCTCAAATGTCAGGAGGACAGTACCTGGTAAGGTATCTCACTCTCAGAACTACTTTTGTCATGTTTTGATGGAGTCACTGCCCTCCCTGTATTCAGTTGTCCTTTGGTTTTTATTGAGGAGAACTTTGTATTCTCAAAATGTTCATCTTTCCTCTAAGCTCTGCCCTTCAGCTTTGTAAGCCCTATTGCCAAAAGTCATCCATGTGCACCCCTCATGTCCACCATCTTCAGGATTTGTGCTGTTATGGGTTCTTAATCTGCCATATTTGATTCCAGCCATGCAAGGCTTTCAGTCTGTGCTACCTGATTCTGACTGGCTTGTTCCAAGAGATCTTGTGTCGGAATGAACAAGATGGCTTGCCTCCCTGTACTAACTAGACTTCTTTCCATGTAGCCTTAGGTTGCATTCGTTTTTACATTTTTTTCTTTGTTGGTAGCTAACTCATATAGATCACTTATACCAGGTTAAAAACAAGCTTTTTTTTTTTTTTTTTTTTTTTTTTTTTTTTTTTTTTTACCCCTGAGCTGTTGATTAATCTCTGGCCTATGATGGTTTTGAAAAAAAAAAAAAACAACCTTGAAATAAGTTAAATAAAAACATTTTGTGACATTTTCTGAATTTGAGGGCAGCCTTTGAGCTTGGAAACCTCTGTGTTTGATGTTCACTAAAAGTGGGAACAAAGGACGGACGGTCTCTAGCCGGCTGTGACTTCAGCACTGTGGACAGAGGCCACTGCGGTACCTCTAGTTATGCCTGGGACAGCAGGAGGGTGGAGGATCACACAGCGTGGGGGAACAGCAATCCTGGCTGCTCACTCAGTGCCTTGCACTCTTCCCTCTCGCCAAAATAATTCTGTTTTTTTTTTCCTATCATCTCAGAAGGCAGACATGACAGGGATTGTTCTTCAGGAGTTTTACAGATGAGGAAATAGGTTTGCTAAAGTTAGATCCAAGGAACCCTGGGAAAAGTGGAGTTGGGGAGAACACTGGGTTTAACTCAATGTTTAGAGAATTGAGTAGCACTGTTTCTCTTTGGGGAATGACTTTCTTGAGAGACAGAGGGAACGTCCTTGAGCCAGAGCAGGACAGGTGAAAGCTTGTGTGGAGGTGAGGTTCCAGCAAGCCCTTGGAGCAAATGACAGCTGGTAAGAGTAAAGGCTCTAGGAGGGATGAAATTCCCAGCTAGGACTGATGAATGGCGAGAAGGGAAACTCTGTTATTTACAGAGATACAGGATTTTAATTCTTTAAACTGTGTATTTATTCTGTGTGTGCACGCATGCCAAGACACATGTGGAGATCAGAGGACAACTTGTGAGAGTTGCTTCTTTCCATCTGCCATGGGGATTGAACTCAGGTCATCAGGCTTAGCAGCAAGTGCCTTTGCTCTCTGAAGCCATCTTTCTAGGCCAGAACCTAGTTTTTATGCCCTTTGGTACACTGATACTCAGCTTCCCTGAGTCTGGAGACAAGAAGGAACTCATGTGGTGTCACCAAACTTCCAGAGCCTGCTGGGCACTCCCTGCCCCAAGGGAAAACCCCAGAGGAGAGAGCATGGACGATGGAGTGGAAGAGCTAAGTGCAAACTTCTGCAATGTGTCTACAAAGCTGGCTCCCTGTCTGAGTCTATTTTGAATAGCAGAGAGGGAAGGTGCTGGACTACACTGCAATAGGTCTCCTGAAGAGTGCTCTGACAGGCAGTAGGCATGCATGTGTGCACACACGCATGCACAATACACACACTACTGAAGACAGACTGAAAGTTACAATGTGCTGTTTATGCTCAGGCCAGGAACCGGGCAGTGATGCGGCATGCCAGAGAAATGGGAGGATCCCCAAAACAACAGGAAGCAAGCAGCAGAAACAACATCACAATCTGTTTATTATGGTTTCTGCAGTGCCCAGCCTCAGGGAGCTCCGGCTTGGAGTGCTGTGAAGGCTGAGCCACAGGGAGGAGCATGCAGCTGTAGACAGGAATATGGGGCTTGGGGTCAGTCCCCTCTGATTACTGTCACATTGGCTTCAGCAGAAAACTACATGGGGAAGTCATGAGAAACCAGAGGGCCTTGGATCCTCAGTGACTTATGGGCTCTCAGAGCCTCCCTCCCAGTCTGTTCGGCTGGAAACAAACCAAGGATATCCATTAATGATTGGAGGCTAAACCTGAAGGTCTTTGCCGATTATGGATATGGAAAGGCCAACCCTTTCTATTATAAACTGGAATGGAATTTGGCTTCTTAATCATTGGTCTAGATAAGACCTGACACTCTTCTCCATGCTGTGGGCCATTAGGGCATGCAGCTTTTCTTTACTGTTGGTCTAGTGGGAATTCTGTAACCTATCATCTTTATAAGGATGCCAAAAATAATGGGAACAGACAAGAAACAGCACGAGGGATGCTCGGCCGCACCCTATTCCAGGGCTGAATGGAATCAGCATATGGAACCAGGCCATATGCTGATCATGCCCACTTAAGATCTCCGTTGTCTGGGCTGCAACCAGGACCAAGAGAGATACAGTGAGCAAGTTAAATCCAGATGGCAAAGAGAACATGATGATTTGACTTCACTGTAAGTGGCAGGTTAGAAAGGGGCCATTGTTACAGGTGCTGCCAGGATGCTCTGAAATTTTGGCATCAAGGTTGTTTTGCCTTTTAGTGCCAAGTACAGAATAGTCATGTGCCACATAGTGACATTTCAGCCAACAACAGATGGCATGCACAATGCTGGTCCCATAAGTTATACTGCCCAGTAACATGGTAGCTGTCTCAGCCTGTGTAAGAGCACACTCTTCAATGCTTGCACTATGAAGAACTTGCCGAAGGACACAGTTCTCAGAATAGATTTCCAGAATGGAACTGGGCTTCTTAATCATTGATCCAGACAAGACCTGACACTATTATCCATGCTCTGGTCTGTGAATGACCCCATATACCTGTGTCTCTTTTTATACATATGCAGTGCGTGACTGTGTGTTATTTTCACTCTGCTGGCTGGAAGGAGACACGGAATACCAAAGCTTGCTTCCAGCTCAAGTTTAGTGCCCCAAGGTTGCCTACTTTTGACTCTTGGGTAGTCATGGTTAGATGGGCCCCTACCAGTTTCTTCTGAGCCTTTCTCTTAGCACCAGTGCCTTCTGCACTTTCGGAAACTGTGATGTCTACAATGACTGTTGTGCTTTGAGCTAAGGCATGGGACAACCCTGGAACTCACTTCCCAGTGAAGTGCCCTCTTCCCAGGCAGTTGAATTCTGTGCTTTCTGTTTTGGTGATAGGAGTGGGGCAACTCCGAGACTTGGCCATTTAAACAAGGCCCAGGCGGCCTCCCATAGGGAGGTGCTAGGGCCAGAAAGGCAAGTGTCTACCCCGCCAGCCCAGGTTGCGCGGGGGAGGAGGAGGCCGTATAGTCATGGCTTCTGCTGCAGCTAGCCTCAACAGAAGAGCACTTCAGTTGGATCAGTACCTAGGAGTGAGGAAACTGCTCCATCCCTGGGATACCATAGGAGTGACTGTTAAATGTTTTGCTGGGGATGGTTGGCCTCAGGGAAGGAGGCCAAGGAACAGACCTGGAAAGGTTATGCAGAGATAAGCCACTCTCAGCAACTCTGCCCCTGCTGTCATCCTGATGTCCACTTATTTAATTATGAATGCAGGGAAGAGAACTGCTGGACGAGAACCAGGCTTGGGGCAAGTGGTCTTCAGAGAAGCATATATGTAACCCAAGCCTTTCTTGGTTGGAGTTCAGGATGGACGTTGTTGGGAAAAGCATTGATCTTAATTTTTGGCAGCCAAGATGGAAAAGTTTAGAACACTTTCTCATACCCTCACCAGAGCCAGGCATTAATCTTTGTACTTGGCAGAATTTCAGACAGTCACAGTGATAGAAAGGCTTGGAAAGGGATTATAACTAGGTAGATGAAAGTGCACCGTTATACACACTGCAGGGGACTTCAGGAGAGAGTATGGACATTGGTTTGGGATGAGCTTCTGTAACAACGGACTATGGAGCAACGAGCCCTCGATTTGGTAAAACAGATGCTTATGGAGAAGAGGCCAGCTGTCCTATATGATCCCAAACAGGCCTGGTCCTGTTGCAAGCGTCAGGATCCAGCCAGCCTGATTTGGCCTGTGGTCTTCTGCCATTCAGCTGCAGGAGCAAGAAACAGCATCTAAAAAGTGGTAAGCATGGTATTGATCTGTAAAGGACCATGGAGCAAGTATCCATAGCTGGGGAGTAGCAGAAAAACTGTCCAATTCCCAAAGCCTGTTCAAAATGTCTTGTGAAGTTCAGCAGCCCACAGCCAGAGATAGATGATGACTCATCAGGACAGTGAGCAAGAGCCCTTGAATTTAACATGCTTTAATCTTCTCAATGGAAAACCCCAAGCCTGGCTGCTGCAGACACAGTCCATGAACCCAGGAGCTTTGTGCTTTGTTTTTGTTTTTGACTCCATTCAGTAATGGGCCATCTTACTGATCAGCCCTGGGAACATGGCCGAGGAGTTTTCACTGTTTTTGATACTAAGTCTCATTTATGTAATCCTGGCTGGTCCAGAACTTGCTATTTAGAGTTGAAGGCTGGCCTTCAACTCATAGAGACCTACCTGCCTCTGTTCCCCAAGTACTGGGATTAAGGGTATGTACCACCATGCCCAGCTTTAAGTAGTAGTTTTCAAAAGCTGTGTGTATTAGTCCTAACTAATTTGTCTCCAGCAGTTTAATACCCTGATTCTAGGCCAGGCAGTTCCTACAGAAAGAGACCATGCAGGGCTCTTAGCAATGCCCTGGCTGCAGATGCCCACGCGGTAAGCTCCTTCTGAGTGAGTGCTTTCAGAAATGGAGACCATACAGGCTTCTGCACAAGTCAGCTCAGCTCTCTTGAAGAGCTTGTTGTCAGAACTGGCCATGCCGAAGTCATGGAAAAAGAAATCCAGAACCTGGAACCCTAGGTCTTGGGGCTTACACACACCATGCACTGACTTGAAAGCTTCAGAGCTGGGAAATGGGGCTGAGCGAAGCTTGCAGGCCAGACTTGGTAGGCTCGCAGCACTCTCTGTCCACAGAGCCCTCTCAAGCTGGCCCTGATTCCTTGCACAGAGGGGAAGACATGGAGTGAGCAGCTGACAGAAGCAGCAACCAAGGCGACGGGAGAAGGGCAACTTTCCCCCTTCTGATGCTGACTAGGACTTCTTGACAGTTGAGATACAAATCTCTTTTTCAGCATGACCACTTAGGGATTCTTCAGAACTCCTTTAGGCTATGTAAGAGGCTAGCTTCCGCTCTGTGTAATGCCGTGTTTCTATGTCTGTGGCTGAGTTAGGCTGGAAGGCAGGAAAAGTCTGAGCTTTCTCTTCTCTTCCATGAGACTGTATCCTCATCGGCCTCCGAGGCAGCCAGATAGGCTGAAGCATCTCACACAGAGGACTGTGATGCTTGCCAGTGTATCTGCTTCACTTGGGTCTCTAGGGCTTTAGGCCATGTGATACCATTTGACAAATAGGGACCAGGAGTCTCACCTTGGCTTTCCTGTTCTAAGGACTTGTGAAGTTGGATGATCTGGTTAAAAAGTGCCTAGAATCCTGGGTCCCTGTGAGAGGCTCTCTCCACTTTCTCCAGTCAGGAATCAACAAGCTTGTTTCCTTTTCTATCATAAGGAACTGGGATGATTTTTAAGTGTTCTCACCACAGCATACCACAGCACACTTAGGAATAACAGTGGCTCATCACTGAAGGGGTTTCAGTGTGGGCAGGGGACCTCTCAGCACCTCCTGGAGGGGCAGGAGTTTGATCTGTTCCCTCTTTCTATTGGAAACAAGGACTGGCCAATAAAAAGAGTAAGACGAGACTATCTCATCTATACAGAGTTTCCCAGAGGGATTCTGGTCCTTTTTCACGGAGAAGCGAGCCAGGAGTTTGGAGGCATGGATATCTAGGCATGTATGTGGCTGTATGTGCGTGTGCACATATATGTACATGGGGTGCCAGGTAGTTTTGTGACGTGAGGGAAGGAGGCGGTCCAGTAGCAGGTGTCGCTGCGGCTCTCGGGGCTTCTCAGTGTATTGACATATACCGCCTCTGTTGTGAGCGGAGCGGTGGCTTCAGTGCCAGAAAGCTTAATGACAAAATAAGATGTTGGCAGTGTCCCATTCCCATGAGTCTCCATGCCAGAGGCTGGTAAAGGACAGAGAAAGGGAAGGAGGAAGAGGGTGCCACCGTCCCAGAACCAAGCTTGTGTGCCCGCACTACCCTGGGGGTTTCAGATGAATCGCTGTGCTGTTAGGACGAGCAGCCAAGATGTAGATGACATTCTCTCTTAGGAAGGTGGGCCAGTCCACAGATCTGCAGAGGGAGAGAACAGGTTCGCCAGGCTGCGTACAGAGCGTGAAGGCACATAAGGCCCAATCCCAAGGGCAGTTTGCCTTGGGCCAGATGAAACTCAAGGTAGCCTGCCTCGTGACTCATGGTTATGGGCTGGTTATGCTACAAAGCGAGCAGATCGGCTATCTGGCCCTAGAGACCCGGGGTCAAATGTGTCCTTTTGGAGCCCGGTTTCTAGGGTGGGTACTGGCTATTCTGGGATAGAAGTGGTAACACCTCCCTTTATTTATGAGGAATGTGATGGCAATGGAGGCCACAGACAGCAAGAGGAGTTTCGTCTTACCTAGATGCCTGCTCTGCGGGCAGCAGGGCCTTATCCTGACTCTTGCTGCTGTTGCTGGCTGGGCTGCTGTCTGCTATGGGACCCACATGGCTAACGCTGCCAGGCATAAGAACATGAGGTTAGGAGTGGGAGAACAAACGGCCCTGACTCCTCCCCTACTCCGGTGAGCCCATGGACCATGCCTGTCCAGGCTTTCTGAGATAGGGCAGCACACAATTTAGGACAGAGGTGGCCCAGCGTGCTGCCAGTAGGATTGCTGACCTCTACCTAATTCATAGGCGGATCTTCTGCCGAAGGGAGGGAAAGAAGCACATGCTACACCCAGGACCCAGGTGGAAGAAAGAAAGGGGTGTGGTGGGGCGTGGCGGGGAGAGCAGACCTGACGTTGCACGAAGGAGCCTCTGCAGGGCCTTTACAGAACCAAGAGTGCCGGGCATGGTGGCACTCTGCCTCACTGATGGTGCTCCCATGGCCCCGTGCCAGGAAGGTGGCTCGGGCCCGTTCCCTCTCCTTGACTGTAAGAAGCCTCAATAGAGAGTTCTGGGAAAGAAGAGATAAGTTACGGTCTTGAAGGTGAAAATATCTTGAAGACTACAGGGCATTGCATTTCCATTGCCCAACCTTTGCTGCCCTTCTTAGATGGCTCCAGAGCCTCTTTGGTAGCCTGGCATTTTTAGGGGAGTCAGTGCAAGTCAATCTTCTCAAGAAGTTTCCTCAGCCCTGGTCACCGGCCATTTCTCAATGGATGGACCTGTAACCCTTTCCTGACACACTCCTGACACATGCTCTTGTTTAGACAGTTCCTAACACTCCCCTGACATGTCCAGCGTGCATCCTGGCCCTCTGTCGCTCATGGCCATTCGTCACTGCTGTACCTCACCTGGGGACGCAGCTGCTGCAGCAGCAGGAGGGACTCATGGGACAAGAAGTCAGGCCACTCCACATGGCCACGATGCTCAGGGTCCAAGGCTGCAAACTGGCGGGCTGCCTGCTCCTCTTGCTCATCACTCAGGGCCCTGCTGCTGTCCCCTCGCTTTGCTGCTTGATGACGGTAGCGCACAAAGTCTTCCAGTGTCAGGGAACAATCTGTGGGAGGGAGGGAGGCACCCTTGTTGGCCATGCCCACCCTTCCTCAGCCTTGGACAGCTTCACTCACTCTAAGGCACAGACCCAGTTCTTGTGGAACTATGCCTCCCATAGCCAGGGGCACTTGCGGGGTGGTGGGGAACTGTGGTAGAAGTAGGCACCTTTGACGGCCCACAGCTCAAGATCAAGGACTCATTCATCCCTTCTCCCCAAATACCAGAATCCTCTGTTCATCATCTATCCCAAAAAGGATGAAGAGAATGTGGCTGGCTCCTTCTCAGCAGATGTCTGGTCTTACCGGGGATGACTTTACACCGCTGGAAGGTCTCTGTGAGGCTGTACATCTCCTCCTCAGTGAGCAGCAGGTTAAGGTTGTCCTGAAAGAAGGTAGAAGGGCAGTTAGTGGCCACACAGGCCAGTAACAAATGAAAAGCCAGGGGTCAAGAGGGATGGGAACAGTGTCGCCCCCAGAGAGAGGGCAAAGTCACCTGAGCCCAGCCTCCCAGCCTTGGCCAAGGGCCCAGACAGAGGGAAGATCTGCTCAGAACCGTCTGATTTTGGGGGACGATCCTCCCTAGAATGCAGCTATCCTGACTCTGGCTCAGTCCCTTTATTAGACACTGTTTTCAAGTTGGCCTGTAAGTTGACCTAGGAAGAAGCTTTAATTACTAAATAGCACTGAGATCTTATTTTGTTAGTGATACTATGCAGTCTTTAAACTATTGAAGTCTCTTTGTAAAGGTTGGTTAACCTTCCTCCTAAAATATCAGCCAAGAGCAGATGCAGGTATCTCCTGAGTATATCCATGAGTTTCACAAAAATTCCTGTGATTCTTTCAACAAACACCCATTGAGCAGCTGGTATGTGCTGGGCACAAGGGTCTGCGCACAGCACTGATCCGTGATACCTGGTGTGGCATGTGCTGTGAAGGGAGGCAAGGAGAAACAGAAGAAGATGGGGACTTGTGAGGCTCTCAGACGGCCTTGACTGAACCTTAACTCAGGCCTTTATTCTAAGGATAGTGGGGAGGCACAGAATCTGGTCATCATGGTCAGATCTCTGCCATGAGAAAACAGATTAGGGGAGCGAAATATGGTGGTATGGAGAACACTTGGGTGGCTGTTGTGGTGGTATAGGTAAGAACAATATGAGTAGCTAAACCCAGACATGAAAACAGGGAGGGGAAAGCAGTGAGAGATGTCAGAGGGCATCTGAACGTGGTAAGGGAAGAGATGGGACTGGGAAATTGGTGAGTGATATTACTATTCACCGAAGTGAGGGATGGGAAAGGGAGCAGGTTTAGGCAGGAAGATGAGTTCATTTGGGGGCATTCTGAGCATGAGTCAAGACGGAGAAGTCCCTAAGACAGGAAATTTAATCCTGGGCACAATCTGGGAATCATCAATGTTTAGATCGTGGGTTATTGGATGAAGTCAGACAGAGACAGTGAATACAGTGGGAAAAACAGTGGGATCCTGAGGAATACAGCATTTATAATGGAAACAGATCAAGAGTGTAGAGAAAGAAAGGCCAAAGAAGGCTGGGAGAGACTGGAAGTGGGTGCAGCGGCCCACTCTAGGAGGCACTGCTAACTGTGGTCATATGCATGGGATGGGAGCTTACGATTTGCAAACATTTTCTCTAGTTTCTGTATATCGTATGAATTCTAGAAAAGACTTAAATGCCAAGAGAAAGAGGAGGAAATAAGAAAATGTTGAATATCTTACTCACAAAGGCTGACTAAGAAGACACCTGAGAAAAGATCACTGGACTTGACAATTAGAAGATCATTGATGACCTCAGGACAAGCCAATTTAGTGAAGCATTGAAGGCAGGAGTCACCCTGGAGGGATGGAGACACCAGGAAATAGAGAAATGCTCTTGAGAAGTATGATCCTGAGTGGAGGGAAAAGAAAGAGATGAACTCAGAGGAAGTCTTTGTAAAAAGCCCATAGAGGTGGTGGTGGCAGCAGGGCCCTGGCAGAGCTGGGGCGGAGGCGGGCCATCCCTGGGGGATAGCAAGGAGGCATGCAGTGCCCCACGCCATGTTGGCCGCACACCAGCAAGCAAGGCTGCTGTGCGGGAAAAGGCTGGGGTTCTGGGGCGGTGCATGTGTGTATGAGGGCTGGGGAGGAGGAAGGGAGGCAGGGAGGGAAAAGACTGTAGAGCAGGGTCTTCTGTAGTCTATCCTAGAGGAGAGTTGTCTCAGTAACTTCCAGATTCCATTCTGTGGATTAGCCATAGACAGAGGGTCAGAAGTAGCACATGACATGGGCGAAGATGCTGGCCAGCTGCCCCTTACACTCAATCAGAGAGCAGTAAAGCAGGGCAGCACAGCAGGAAGAAAGACAGGGATTCTGCTCAGGAATGGTGATAAATGACTGTGAATCTGGTGTCCGATGGAAACCTTAGATTCTGCCTGCCGTTAAAAGTTGGAAGGCATTCATACACAGTTTACAGAGTCTGAATCAATGCACCTTTGCTATTTAATTCACAGAATCAGCACTTCAGAGAGGAAGAACGAAGGTTTCTAACAGGCGCTGGCCAAGCGAGGACCACAGGACCTCCCATTTTCCTGGGACAGAATCTCCCTCTGCTGGAAGCAAGCTGTTCAGGATGCCAGGCTGGCTTCTCAGACGAGCACAAGGAAAGACTTAGAGAAAGCAATGCCCTATGCAGAATTACTTTTGGAACACACTTAGCGAGATCTGGTGTGCTACGACTGTGTCTGTGTGCTACTGGTATATTTTTAAGTGACATACAATGCACCTCACAACAGAGAACTGTTACCTAGCTCTGGGACCCTTGCATACACTATTAGAAAACCCCTTAGGTCACTGCTTTAGAAACAGTCATTTTTATTCTAGGCCTCTGAGGATGCCGAGTTTTCCTGCTGTCCTGTAGTCCACACTCACACAGTAGTAGCAGCTCCAGCCTGTTTCTGTATGGGCCAACTCGGTCACCTCCGCTGCACTGTCCCCTTGGAGGTAGCCCATGCGGCGCAGGCAACCATCATGGAAAACCCTGGTGCAGACTCTGCATGGGAAGAGGCTCTCGGCGGTCCAGACCTCGCAGATATCACACATCTCATCATTGACCACCTGGCAGGAATGAGAAGGATCTCAAAATGCAGAGAGTAACATTATATGGCTGCTCCATGGGCCTGGGTCTCTCTGGAGCCACTGTGAAGCTATGAGAGCATCCTTCCTGGTGGGTGAGAACCAGGAAGCTGTTCCAGCTGCCTACAGCTATGTTACTGTTTTCAAACAGAGATACTATTAGCATTTTATAGAGAATAATATGCACGATGATTGTCTCAAACATTATATGACATTCAATATCCCTAGCTGTCTTGACATCATATACCAGCGGAACCCTTTGGCCATTGTTTTCTTACCCCAGTCTTCCTTCATCAATTTCCCCAATGTCCCCTACGAGGGTTAGTGGCCTCTGCGGTTGAGAATCCATACAGGTTAGCACAAGATATACCATGGCAGCATTTCTTACCACTCAACAGCTCAGCTCTTTTACTATGACTAATTTAAGATATTTCTGGTATTTTATTCAGATGAAATATTGTTTCCATTTGTGGTACAGGGCTAGAAAACAGGGACTGGCACAGCCGAGGCGAGCATCCTACACTGAGACACATCTAAGCCTGTCCTGTGGGGACTCAACTCCATCTCCTGGTTCTGAGTCTCACCTCAGGCACACCCAGCCTTCCCTGTCCTGTTCTTCAGTCCTTATAAAGGCCAAGACAGGGAAACCCTCCCTTCACAGAACACTCACAGGCTCCCGAGGTTCCAGGCAGATCTCTGGAGGCTTGTCGTCATCCAGCTTCCGGGTGGGACGAATGAAGGCAGGGGGTGTGAATCGACGGGTCCTGTCAAACTCCTCAGGCTCAACTCCACGCCCGTCTCGGAGGCGCTCCCAGGCCGCCCGGTTGATACTGCTCTCCTCCTGGACCACAGGGCCGCTCGTCTCTGCTTCCTTCTCCTGCACTTCCTGCACAGCGCCCTCCACAGTGCCACGGCGGGACCCTGGGGGCTCGCCCCCACGTCTAACGGAAGGCCTGTCCCGCAGCCCATCCTTGAAGGCTGACACAGCGAGGCTCACCTTCTGCACCTGCTCTACCGTCTGCCGCTTGGACATCAACACCCCCATGGCGCTGTGGACAAGATCAAGTTTATCCGTCCGTGGGAAAGGCAGGTACTGTTAAATCATGCTGTTCCTAGCTCCTAGCAGCAACGTGCACTGGGAAGAGCACACACTAAGCCAGAGACCCTGGTTCTGCCTCTGACTGGCTGCTGATTCTGGTTTTCCCACCGATGGGCTGGGAGTTAGCTGTTCAGTGCACTGCACAGGGATGCTATGAGGAGAACATAAGGAAATGGAGCTGGGCTGGTGCTATAGCTCCACAGGAGAGAGCTTGTGCAAAACACACACACACACACACACACACACACACACACACACACACACACAGGCCTAGACACACATATACATACAGAGGCACACACAGATACACACACACCACAAACAAAAAAGAAAGAAGAGGCGAAACAGTGCATAACTATGTAGAGAGTACTGTAAGTAAGTGGAGCTGTATCTGTTTTCCTTGTTATTGGAGAGCTGCGCTAGCTCAGGGGCATTAGGCCTCTGTTACTGTGAGGTGGTGGGGACTCCAGATCTCAAGTTTTTCCTCTCCCCTAAAAGGAGATTTAACACATTTCAGGTTGTCTGAGGGAAAGAAATGAAGAGGAGGAATCACTGGCTTTACACATGTTGAATTAAGGACATCCCGGGGACACCCTGGAAAATCTGTAGTGGCAGAATGTTGTCAAAGGCGTCCTGTGGCTTTCAGGACAGAGTTCCTCAAACACGTGCCTTCCTGTGCCTAACGAGCACCCCAGACCTGGAGTTCCCTCCTACTCTCCATGTCCCAATCTCTACTAGCACTGCTCAGACTTTATTCGACATGCTTTCCCTGTTTTTGGGAAACGGAAGCACCCCAATCACTGTACTTTCCAGCTTGCTCAGGTGTCAGTTCTTTGGGTATCACTGCAGAGTCCAGACTGAGTTGCTTGGGGGCGTGCGCTCCGCTCTGGAGCACTCACTTTCCTCACCCATACTTAATGGGTGATTATCTCATCAACGTCAACTTCCTGTTTCGCCTGCCCCGCCACCTACCTCCGCTCTAGTGAGGTCTCTGGAACATCACACATTAATGAGCATTTGCAAAGCCAGGCACGGCACTGGAATTCTAGTATTCTGGAGGCTAAGGCAAGATGATTGTTGTGAGTTCAGGGCCAGCTTGGGCTGCAGAGTAAGACATTGTCTCCAAAACAAAAAACCAAAGCCAAAACCAAACCAAAGCAAAGGCTGGGGAGGAGGATGAGTCTGTAAAGGGCTTGCTATGCAGACACCAGGGCCTGAGTTGGATTCCCCCACCACAGAGAGCCATGTGTGGTCTGAGACTGCAGCAAATGTAGCCTCCCGCACATGTCCCAAGGTTTGGTGAGAGACAGTGTCTCAAAAAACAAGATGGGTGACACCCAAAGTTGGCCTCTGGCCTCTGCATGCACCCCCCCCCCCCAAGTCTTTCCAGTTAACTGTCAAGAAGTCTTGCTTTTACAAATAAACCTTACGGTATGTGCCATGCCTGGTGAAAGCCACATATTCTTTTATTGCTTGTATGTACCACAGTGATGCAAATTTCTACCCTGTAACCTGTTACCAAGGAATTGCATATTCTCTATATCTATACACACGCACACACATACATACTTCCTCCTATCTGTCTATCATTTTGAGACAGGGTCTCACTATGTAGCCTTGGCTGTCCTAAAACTCACTATGTACCAGGCTGACTTCAAACTCAGAGTTCTTCCTGTCCTGCCTCCTGTGTAGTAGGACTCAAGGTGTGCACCACATTTGCAGAAAACCATATTCTTGAATGGATAAAGTGAGAAGACCTGCATATTCCATTTATCAGTTAGCTAATAAAACGTAAGATAAAACTCAAAAGAATAAAAAAATCCTGACATGAAAAACTAAGGAATGTTTACTGTCAGCCAGTAACTGTTTTGCAGGGTGGTGGCAAAGGTTTATTAAAAAGATTTAGGAAATCATGCCTCAGTAGACAACCAAAGCAGATTTAAAAACAATTTTTATGAGTGTTTTGATCGCATGTGTATCTGGTGCCACCTGCATGCCTGGTGCCCTCCAAAGCCAAAGGCGTCAGAGATTCCCTAAAACCGCAGTCACAGATGCTTGTGAAACATTAAGTAGGTGCTGGGAATTCAGCACAGATCGGGGGCTCAGAGTGTTCTTAACCATTGAGCCGTCTCTCTAGTCCACATCGCGGCTATTTTCAGCACAGGCAATTATCATTACAGGCCCACTGTTTTCCTGTGATACGTTAAGTGGGACGTTTTTCAATGTAAAAAACTGATCAGTATTTATTTGTATTTTGCAGTGCTGGGGATGGAACCCAAGGCCTCACTAAGCCATATACCCACCCCCTTTTTATTTTTACCTTTTTAAAAAACTGCAATGCAGAATAAGAAGTACATTTTGTGAGGAAATAATATGTATAAAAGTATTTATTTGTGAACTTGTAACTGAACCCAAAGATTAAGAATGATTTTTCTTTTCTTTTTTTTACTATATTGTGATGTTTATGATAATTCTCATCTTACTGTATTAAAGCCTGATAGTGATTCTCCACAGTGATACAGAATCATCAAAAAAATTAGTGTCTATTAATTATACAAAATAATGGATTCAATTATGATTTTTTCATACAGGTAATAGAATGTACTTTGAACATCTCAATTGCTCTTTCTCATCCCTTCTCCCATTGGTCACATCCTTTTTTACAAAAACCTACATTCTGCATCTGAGAGAAAATGTGAGGTATCTGTCTAAGTCTGTCTTATTTGCTTAGCTTGATGGGCTCTGGCGCTCCTCATCTTCCTGTAAATATTTCCCTCTTCCTGATGGCTGCACAAAATTCCACTCTATAAAAACAACCCACATTTTCATTTCCCATTCACCTTGGATAGGCGACCCTTGGTTCTACAACTGTGAAGAACACCACAGTGAGCATGTGTGTGGTGGGGCGTCCCAGCACTCAGGAGGCAGAGGCTCCCAATCTCTGCGAGCTTGAGGCCAGCCTGGTCTACAGAGGAGCTCCAGATCAGCCAAATCTACTAGTGAGACCTGTCTCAAAACAAATAACAAGAAGAAATGGCATGCAGATAGCTCTACTTTTGTTGTTTGTTCTGAGACAGAGTCTCTGTAGCTCAGGCTGGTCTGGAACTCACTATAAACATACATACATATGCACACACATGCCCAAGGCTGGCCTGGGTGCTGGGGTCCTCCTCCTGTAGCTACCGGGGTGGTGGGCTCACAGGCACATTCCACTACACCTGGCCTAGTTATCTCAGGTGTATTCTCATTTAGATTCCTTCCTGCATAAAGCCCCAGCCAGAGTGGACAATATGGCAACCTTATTGCAGTTTCTAATAACCCAATAGCTATGGCAGCTTTGTCCTTTGTTTTCATAGGGGCAGCCATTCTGGCTGGGATGAGTTAAATCTCAGTGCAGTTAGAGTTCTATTTTCCTGTGACTAAGCATGGTGAACAGTTCTTTCATGTAGGTATTTTCCATATACATGTCTTGAGACATTTTATTCAATTCATTAATTTTATTTTTTGTTTGTTATTTTGAGACAGGGTTTCTCTGTGTAGCCCTGCTTGTCCTGGAACTCACTCTCTAGACCAGGATGGCCTCACAGAGATCCACTTGCCTCTGCCTCGCTAGTGCTGGGATTAAAGGTGCACACCATCACTGCCCTGCAAATAGGTTTTTTTTTTTTTTAATGTTTATTGTCTCCAATAATAGTTTTTTATTAAAGAACTCTATTTCTTTTTCTTTGGCTGTGCTGGGGCTGAGCCCAGGGCACTGTGCTTGATACTTAAGCACTCTACCATGCTCTTTGTTTTGATTTAAAAATGGCCATTTATAAACACAATAATATAAAAAACCTCTGCTCTCGACAGCTGTGACTTCTAATAGTTGTGTGGATGGGAGGTCTACTAGAGATGGACCGACCAACGCAAGCTTACTCTGCAATGGGACATGGGAAAGGTGTGAAGCTTACGATTGGCTTTGGGAAAAAAGAGAGGGTCCTGGGCCAAGTAATGAAGAGGGATTTGAGGCGCTGGAAAGGGCAGGAAAACAGGTGCATCCTTGGAGCCTCCAGAGTTATACACCGCTGTGGATGGATCCCTTAATGTTAGTCCAGTGAGACTGAGTTCTAATACTGGCTCCAACATTTCAAGAGAGTAGGTCTGTATTTTTAAAGGGGAGGTGATGTGGGAGAAACGGAGAAAAGGAATGAAGTAGGAGAGAATGGAGGGAGAAGAAAACCAACAGTACACAACATATTCTTTTAAAACTGTGGGCATGGGGCTGGAGAGACGGCTCAGAGGTTAAGAGCACTGGCTGCTCTTCCAGAGGTCCTGAGTTCAGTTCCCAGCAGCCACATGATGGCTCCCAACCATCTATAGTGAGATCTGGTGCCCTCTTCTCGTGCGCAGGTGCATATGCAGATAGAGCATTCAAATAAATGAATGAATGAATGAATGAATGAATGAATGAATAAATAAATAAATAAAACATTAAAAAACACAATAAAAAATAACAACAAAAAACTGTGGGCATACGTGAAACTTTTTTTTTTTTTTTTTTTTTTTTTTTTTTTTTTTTTTTTTTTTTTTTGTTTTAAGCTAGGATCTCTCTAGCTCTGGCTGACCTGGAACTCCTGGCTGGCTGTGACGTCAAAGATACTCACTTGATTCTGCCTCCTGTGTCAGACTGAAGGCATGTTCCACATGCCCTTCCAGCTTACAGAAACATTTCACTTTGCTTTTTGTTTTGTTGAGGCAGGTTGTGGCCTAGGCTGGACTCAAACTCATGGCAGGCCTGTGTTTCAGACTTTCCAGTGCTGGAATTACAGGAATGAGCCACAGTACTCCCTGCTTTTACTGAAACATTTTAAAAAACATTGGTAAGAGGATAGAAACAATTTTAATAGGAAAAATGCAGAATAACTTAATAGACAAAGTATACAAATTTTGATTTAATTTTTTTGAAAC